TTCCACAATATTCAGAGATATTCCTTAATACGCAACTTTCTTTATTGCATTTGAATCTACAAAATAATATTTACAAAGTGAGAGAGGATATTTAAATATATTTGATTAATTTCTAGCTGGTATAGCTGCTGGTTTAGTTTGCATTTGTTTTTCTTATCCCTAAGATATGATAAAAACCAAAATCTAGTATGAAATTCTTGAATCTAAATAAAATCGAAGGTATAATGGAATAGATGGTGGTATTTCGAAATGCATGAAAGAAATATATAAAGAAACAGGTTTCAAGGGCTTTTGGCAAGGATTCAATAGTTGTGCAATATATTATATGGTAGCTTGTTCAGCTCAATTGGTTGGGTACTGATTTTAATCCATTTATAGATACGAGCAAGGTCGAATCTTTTGGGATACTTATGTTAAACATTGATATTTAATTATATTAAATCTATTGATAAAAATGAATAATATTATAAAATAATTTTTAGTTATTTTAAGACATGACTTCAATATTTTTATGTAATATACTTATTCATTATCCTATTTCATTTTATTATTTCAACTCTAAACATATAATGTTTAAATTAGATCTTATAAATTGTTGATATAAATAATTAGATTAAGTAAGATATCTAAGAATTTAGAACAAAATTATAGAAATATGAGAATTTTGGGTAATGATTAAAGAATATTATAACAAATACTTAATTATTTGATTTTATATTATAATAATATTAATTTTAAATGGAATTTAATTACGATCAAATCAAAGAGAAACTTAATGGTTATGATCTATAAACAAAGATCTAATTAATAGCTTTGGCACAGTGTTTGTATGATAGAAAGAACTTGGATCATTAATAGGATTAAGAATTAGACTAGATGGAAGCTGATTATAAGAAAAGAGTTGAACCTTTAATTGAAGCCTCAAATTAAATAATTTCAGGTTAAAGATTAGTAAAGGAAGAGGAAGTAGAAGATTTAAAGGAATATTTAAATGCTTAAGAATAACCTATATTGGATAATTAAGAACCAATAGAAAATTATTGGTCTAAAGTTTTATTAAATTCAAAGACATTAAAAAATGAAGTTATTGGAGATAGGGATGAACCATTATTAAAGGCAATAAAAAATATAAGAGGATTTGAAAATAAGGAATAACACAAATTAGGATTGATATTTTAATTTAAAGCAAATGATTATTTCCCAGAGGAAGAATTAAAAGTAGAATTTTTATTAGATGATAAATAAGGAGAACCTCTTAAAGTTGAAAGTACAAAAATAAATTGGAAGGAAGGTAAGAACATTTCTGTAAAGATTGTTAAGAAGAAGAATAAATAGAAGAAGAAGGTAAAGGAAGTAGAATAAAAAACATTGTTTTAATTATTTAAGAATTTAGATGTAAAAGATTGGGAGAAATTGGAAGAAGATAAGAAAGAAGAATAATAATAAAAAATGGATATGTGTTATGATATTTGTAGATTAATTTATGATGAAATATTACCATATTCTTTGGAATATTATTTAGATGTACATGTTGAAGATGATGATTATGAAGGAGAAGATATGGATGATGATGATGAAGATGATGATGAAGAATTAACAAAAGAAGAAGCAATTAAAAGAATGAAAGAAAGAAGAGGATTCAAAAAGTGATTTGTATAGTAATAATTATGTTTAAGATAATATTCGTTTTTCTCTTTTTTACTTATTTTTTTGATTAATATAATAAATGAAATCAGCATTGTTGGTTGTTGTTTTGATTGCCTGTCTTTAGGCAACTACAGTTTCTGAACTCAAGGAAAAACTTTCAGGATATGGAGATCATCCTTTTGGATCATCCATGATAAATTTAGTAAGTGTTAACATGAAAACAGGAGGATCATTAAATGAATTAAAATAGCTCTTATAATAAATTAAGGATGAATTAATAGCCTTAACTTAATTGTAAGATTAAGAAAGTGCCACTTTTACTAGAAGAAGTCAAGTTGATTTGGCTAAACTTTAAGCCACACTTGAATAAGCTTAATAAGATCTTGATAATTAAAGATAAGAATAATCAAGTTTGAGTAATGAATTAAGTACATTATAAACAAGAGTCAAAGAAGGTAATATAAATTTTGAGTATTTTTTAGATTAAGCAGCCTTAGATCGTAATTCTAGAGGAAGTGGTGATGCTTAAAGTAGATTAGATGCTGAGAATACAGATTTCGCTGCTAAATACTAAGATTATAGTGATGCTATTCTTGCATGTAAGGAAGCATAAAGATTACTTATGAATTTAAGAGGAGAAGGTGCATCATTAATTTAATTGACGTATCCAATTTATATTATCTATTTAGTTAAGACACTAAAAGTAATCTCATCTAAACCAAAGAGAATTTCTAAAAAATCAAAGAAATCTTGGAAGCACATACAAAGAAAAGTTCATTAACATTGTTCTAACCAATCATTGAAGGATTAGCTGAAATGACTACTAAAGTTAATCCAGAAACATTAAATAACGTTTTGAGTTTAGTTGCTAGATTAATCACTGCATTATAAGAAGGTTAAGATTAATTAGAAGCAAATCATAAGACTTAAGTCGAAAATCTTACTAGATTGGGTGATGATTTGAGAAATGAAAAATAAACACTCTAAGTATCATTGGCCACAGCAAATAATAGACTTAAAGAGATCTAATCAAGATTAAATGAATTAGATGGATTAATTAATATTTCTAATGCTATCGTTGAAGTTACTTAATTAAATATTTAAGATGCTACTAGAATTAATGAATTAGAAGATTAAGAATATAGCAATTAAAAAGTTAGCAGGTATTCTATTTTATCATAATTAGATAAACTGAAATTGATATCGTAGATAGATTAATTGAATACATCAACCAAAAGTTATCTGAATGATTTATACATAATAATAATCATACATATTTCACATTTATCTTAATGTACTTTCATATTATTTTAACTTTTTTATTATCCAAATATTCTGTAAAATTAATATATCTTTAAACATTAAGAATGATTTTTTATAAAAAAGAAAAATTACATTTAATCTGATTAATATAAATACATTTCTAAAATTATTTAACTTAAGATTTTTTAATTAATCTGACTGCGTTTACAACTCTAAAAAAGTTGAAATAAGAATCAAATTTAATCCTTTGAGTGATCAGTATTATATGATAAGTTATCTAAGTTATTTAAGATTGTTTTAACCAAAGATCAGATAATTGATGAATTCTTTAAAGTAAATCTCTATATATCAAAGCATGCATCAAAAATTTTTAACTAAATTCTAAATATACAAATTAATTAATTTTTTAGATGACATTCTTAAGTAAATATTCAATGAAGACTTAATTACTTACATACTCCACCATATTTATTATAGTTGTTTCAGCCTTAACATATCTAACAGGGCATGTTGGAGGTCAATATATAATTCAAGATTTTTTGAGCTAATCTGATATTATTTATGAGAGACTTAATTCAAATAAATCCAGCCTTACAAACTATTATTTAAAGTATTTTAATTCTTATTTTGAAATAAGTAATTTTTCTTATCATAACAATAGACTCTAATCCATTAATTATACTAAATAAATTATACTTACATTATTTAGGAGTAATTACTACAACTGAAATAAACGTAAATAATTTTGGAGGAGTAAATCCTTTACCATCCGTTATAGCAGATAAAAAAAATTAGAAATTTTCAGATTCTATATTTTGTTATGCATTTAAAGAAGAATTTTAAGCATAAAATACTGAATCAATTTAAGAAGTCACTTTTGCAGATTTTTTGGCACCTCTTGGATAAATTGTTCATTCATAATTTGATGAAAATAAACCTTTATTATATGGATACATAATAAATAGTCCAAAGATACTATATTCATATCCATGTTATTCTTATGGTGAATCATTTGAAGAATATTTACCAGAATCAAGACCATGGTTTAAATTGGCATAGAATGCATCAGAAAAAGTAGCTGAAAATTTAGAGTATGAATATTCAGTATCAGAACCATACTTATGTAATAAATGTTATATATAAATTATAGTTAATTAAGCTAAATAGATTGGAATTACTTTATCATTACCATTAGTAGATCGAAAATTAAAATTTAAGGGAGCATGGTGCATGGATATATTTCCTGAATATTTAATAGTAATTACAGAAAAAATGACATCTTAATTTTAAAGCATGAGTATAATGATAGTGAGCACATAAGGTATGATTATTAAAGATGATGACTATAAAAATGCATTTCCTGTTTATTTTTATAATGAAAGTATTACTGGATTTGATATTAATTAATGGTAAAAGTTGAAGGAAAGTGATTTATAGTAATATCAATTTTTAAATAGTGTAAAGGGGACATAACAAAGAATTATAAAGTTTTATTTGAAGAAGCAATAGTTATTCATTTTATTGTATTATATATATTAATTTAGATTAGCATTATTGATTCTAATGAATATATGAACTATCTTATGGAATATTAAATTAATTAACAATAAAAAATAAATGATTTCTTACAAATCACATTGATACTTTTATTGATGACTTTTTTCTTTTTAATATTATTGGCATATTTGATAATTACATTTTTGATAATGAAACCTATAGAAGATATAATTTGGTTTTTTTAAGTTAGAAAGAGCAAAACTTTGAAGGAGAAGTATCAGGATTTGTTAAAGACAAGATTTCGATATAGGAATCATGTTTATATAAGTCCTACTATCAAAGTTTTATAAGAGGCAGCTTATAGATTAAACTATTGGAATTTCAAAATAAAGAAATAAAAAAATGCATAATGTAATTTGTTACAAATGTTCTTATTTCCTAAAAATATACATCGTCAAAAGATATGTTTAAATGGATCTAAATTATTAGACTTGCATTAAAATTTAGAATAATAAGAATTTTTAGGAATGATCAGATTAGGCTATGATTAGAAATGATTTTTTTTACTGCAATATTTATTAATAAATATATTTAATGAACAGAGACTTGGAGATGGCTAGATAAGCTTATATGGGCAAGAATGTTGAGATGACTAAGCAAGCCCATAATTACAATCCTTCAGAATAAATATATACTGATAATAGAGCAAATGAGAATGACCCATTATAAAAATAAGGTATTTTGAAGTTTTATAACATAATATAGATGCTCATTAAGAGAAACATTCAACTGGTGGTAATTATTTAAGAAGTTCGGTTTTTGGTGGTATGGATGGTATGATGACGACATTTTCTGTTGTTACTGCTGTTATTGGTGTAAATTATTTTATAAAATATAGGGAAATTTTGGAGTACAAGCTGTTTTAGCTTTGGGAGTAGCTAATATGATTGGAGATGGATTATCAATGGCTTTGGGTGATTATTTGTCAACAAAATCAGAATAATAGTTTTTTAAGTAAGAGAGAGAAAGAGAAAAATGGGAAGTAGAAAATAATTTGGAAGGAGAGAAAAAGGAAATGATTGACTTGTATAAAGTATTTTAAATATTTAACCTTAAGAAAAAAGGAATGGATTAAGAAGATGCAGAAAAGATAATGAATATCATAAGCAGACATAAGGATGCATTTATAGACATAATGATGTTGGAAGAATTAGAATTGGGAGGTGCAGAAGAAAATCCATTTATGAATGCATTAGTAACTTTCATTTCCTTTATTTTATTTGGATTAGTCCCAAGTATATTCTTTCAAAATTTATTATTATAGTTATTCCATTTATTGTTGCAGCTATTGCAGGATTGACTGATGGCACAACTGATACGTTGTTTTATATATCTATTGCAATGACTGTTTTATTCTTGATCATTTTAGGAATAAGCAAATCATTCTTCTCATATGCAACATGGTGGAGATGTGCTGCTGAAACTCTTTTTGTTGGAGCTTGTACAGCTAGTTCAAGTTATTTGATTGGTATGGCATTTGAAGGAAAAGAAATTGGTTGAATATGATATTAAATATATTTATTAAATTCATTTCTTTTTCATGTTACTCTACTTATTCAAATACATCAATATTAACATTAAAACACTTCCTATTACTATACCAGGAGCCCAATTGAAAAACCATCTTGGAAAGAAAAACATCTAGTATTATTCACTTAATAAAGGCTATCCAAATGTTGTTAATGTGCCATAAAGAAATGCTGCTATTGCTATCAATTAAAATATTTTCCCAAGTAATTAATCCATTTTTAATTAATTTTTATATATTATATAATTTAATTCATATTTCAACATTATATCCAATACTCATACCTTTTACGTGTTGCCATTTTAGACAATATCCCAATTTTTCCATTTTTGTCATAAAATCAATAGTACCAAGTATCTCTTTTTCTGTTGAAATATTACGGCTCTGAATTAAAAAATGAATTTATTTTGAATCATTCATTCGCCTTTCTGGATGATAGATAGAAACAATATTAAGCATATTTAATAATAACTCATTCTTTATAAAATGAAAAATCAATGCTATCAAATGGTTCCGCAAAGAAGGTAACAATAACTTTAAATAATTGTTTTTTATTTTTAAATGTGAAGAATTAATAAAAGAATACTTAATTAGTTTAGTGTCAGCCATATGAGTTCCTCATTAAGCACCAAAAACAAATAAGTTAAAGGGAAGGAAGCAAATAAAATGCCATGAGATTCTTGCTCTCAAAACTTGTTTATTCATTTTAATAAAAATTTTATTTTTATTGTGTGATTTGAAAAGGTTTCAATTAATTTGCAAAAAGAAATAGCCATTGATCAATTAATGGATTCTATAATAAAATAAGAATAAATAGAAGATAAAAGTTGTTTTTCAATAAGATAAATACAGTATGACATACTTAATGATTAGATAATTTCTGATGTGAAATAAATCTGTGGTTACACTTTGAAACAACCACAATACATCCTTCAGTAAATGCACATAAACTTATATTTGTANATTTGTTAAGAATTAATTGAAACTATTGAATGTGATTCTTAATTAATTGTTAATGAATATTCATGTCGTAGTCAAGTTTAAAATACTAAATGTATTTATGATATTGATAATTATTAATGCACTAGTTTATTTAATATTTGGTCATTGAAATGTAATACTTTAGGTTTAAATTCATTGGGTTGTGTATCAGTTTAACAAGAACCATGTATTTTTAAAGATAATAAATGTTAAATATTTCGTGAAATTTAAAGTGTTTGTATGTTCTTAAGTTAAGTAAATTCAAAAGTATGTGCATCTATTATAGATTAATATTGTGCATATGATCCAATTAATTATAAATGTTAAACATAATTAATCACTTAAGATTATTGTAATATAGAAGGAATAAATAAAAATTTTTGTATTAGAAAAGAAATTTGTATGTGGAATCAAGACAATTTAGATTGTAAATGTAAATCTATATAAGAAATTGATTCTTGTTAATAATCTGATATATCAAAATGTAGAGCTTAAAATAAATGTTATTTTGATTTAGAATAATATAGATGTGTGAAGAAATAATGTTATCATTTAAAGGAAGATGAATGTGATTAAATTTTAGATAATAAAATATGTTATAGAAGTCTTAAAAAAGGTTGTTAACCAAATATTACGGCTCTGAATTAAAAAATGAATTTATTTTGAATCATTCATTCGCCTTTCTGGATGATAGATAGAAACAATATTAAGCATATTTAATAATAACTCATTCTTTATAAAATGAAAAATCAATGCTATCAAATGGTTCCGCAAAGAAGGTAACAATAACTTTAAATAATTGTTTTTTATTTTTAAATGTGAAGAATTAATAAAAGAATACTTAATTAGTTTAGTGTCAGCCATATGAGTTCCTCATTAAGCACCAAAAACAAATAAGTTAAAGGGAAGGAAGCAAATAAAATGCCATGAGATTCTTGCTCTCAAAACTTGTTTATTCATTTTAATAAAAATTTTATTTTTATTGTGTGATTTGAAAAGGTTTCAATTAATTTGCAAAAAGAAATAGCCATTGATCAATTAATGGATTCTATAATAAAATAAGAATAAATAGAAGATAAAAGTTGTTTTTCAATAAGATAAATACAGTATGACATACTTAATGATTAGATAATTTCTGATGTGAAATAAATCTGTGGTTACACTTTGAAACAACCACAATACATCCTTCAGTAAATGCACATAAACTTATATTTGTACCTATCAAAAATTTCAATTTGTTATTCAATCTATTTTCAATTTAATTAAATTAACAATATGAACTCACATCATATTTTTTATTATTTATATTATAAGATGCAAGACTATACATGTTTATAATCTTAGCTTTATAAATGAAACCTAATCATGTTCTACTGTTTTATAATCCAATCTATAATTTATATGGTTACTTAAAATTGCCTATTAAACAATATTCTATATTTAATCTATTTGACAAAGATGAAAATATATTCAATCTGACATGAACATTTCCTTTTTTATTCAAATAATGATATTTCAATCCAAAATCTACATTTGAGTTGGTTTCTATATTTTAACTGATTTTTATTAAAGGAGTGAATGTGTATTAAGTTAATAGATCCTTTTCATAATTATATTTTAAAGCAAGTAAGATACCGATATGTATTAGATCTATTGATTAAATGAAATTAGTATTGGATTTACTAATAATATAACTATATCATATACTTATTAATCCTTTGACTATGATTTTATAATTGTATTTGTACATTAATTGTTTGCCATATAAACAAATTTTTAATTAACTTGTTTATGTTTCCAAGTCAAATTTAGATTCTCCTTATTTATTAAATTAAATTAGGTTTTGATATGAGGCAAATCATTTAATTAAATGTTGAATCCCTTATAAAGAAAGTGTTCTTAAAAGAATCTGTTAAAATAAGGATTTTCATCATATAAATTTTAATAAAATTACATTAAATTTAATCATTTATATTATACTTCTCTTTTTAGTTAAGTTATATTTTATTCAAGTTCAGAAATACGGTTTAATAATAATTTTATATGTTCTTCTTTCTTGGCTAATTGTATTTGATTTTCATTTGTGTGAAGTAGTGACTATTTCAAAAATTCGATTTCATTCATTAATTACTAAGATAACAATATTATATAAACCTTCTTTTCTGCTTCATTTTCATGGACATTCTGTATTAATATATGTAATTCATTTTATTTCTTATAAGTTAATATTTTATTATCTCTTAGTTCCTCAGTTAATTATTGTTGAATCACTTAGTTTTCTAATAATCAATACATAATATTGAACCTTTTAAACCTTGTAATTCTAATTTGATATTATCTTCTAACATCAAATTTTCTCTTTCTAAATTACCTTTCTTATGGTCAAAATCCATTAATTTCTCTTCTAATTCCATTTATCTTTCCTTTAATTTCTCAATCAATCCAGGATCTTCTCTTAAAGTTTAAGTTTGTCTATATGATTAGCAAGTGCATTTTAAATGTGATTAAGACATACGTTAAATTATATAATTTGCGTTTTTATTATGATAAATAAAATAATAATGGATTAAGTAAAAGCAATGCAGTAATATATAATTAAATTAAAGATTGCTCTAACAGATTTATAATAAAAAATAAAGATTTAGAAGTAACACTTGATTAGGTATAAATATTAGTATAATCATTGGAAGAAAAATTAGAATATACTGAAAAAAAGTTATAGAATGAAAAAGAATAAGTTGAAATTCTAGAAATCAATGTTGATGAATATGAAAAGACATTAAAAAGTATATCTGATACTAAATTATTAAAATTATTAAATATAAGAAACCAAGCTTTTTAGGCAAAGTTTTTAATAATACCTAATTAGATGAATTGATAATTAAACTTAATTAAACTGAATAATGCTTAGATTTTTACATTAAAAACATAATTATAATTATTAGAAAATAAGTTTGAACAAGAGCAAAAATTAGCATAATCAAAATTTTAGAAATTGAAATTATATTATCAATAAGAAAAAACTAAAAAAGTAGGTTTAAAGAAATAAATTTAATAATTAAATCTATTACAGACTGGATTACGATATGAAATCAATGAATTAAATTAATAAATTGAATAGTTGAAAAAGGATATAGAAAATAAATAACAAGATTTGTTGTCTACATAATAATTACTTGATAAAAATTAAGATGATATGAAGAAATTAACTTAAGATCTTATTTAACTATAATTGAATATGAATATACTATTTTATTATAATATATAGTCGATAATTAGAAAAAGAAAAAAATGAATTGTAGAGTTTTATATAAGAAATTTAAAATTATGTTACTGGATTGTCTTTTGATCAATAATATTTAGATTTAATTAATAGTTTAAATGAAATAATTTGAAAAATACATAAGTAAACTAATGTGAAGGAATTATTCCTATAAGCAAAACCAGGCAATTATGAAATATTTAAGTTGGCCTAAAAAAATACTTAGACTTGGAATAATGTATTAATAGTTTTAATATATTTTAGAATGAAGAATTAATTAAGTAGAATAAATAGTTACAAGATAAATTATTAGTTTAAAAGAGTAAATAAGAATGAAATTAATATATATATTAATAAAAGAGAAAGTAGTATTTATAAAATTTCATTTGATTACTTTTAGTGGTTATCTTTTACACATTTCTGCAAGTTTATTCTTTAAATTAATGGTACTAGATTATTCTGGACTCTTGCTACTGAAGAAATGTTTTAATGATCTATTATTTTAAGATAAGATACATTTTAGAATCTTAATTCATTTATGATGTACTTGTTTAATTTTATTATTTAAACATATCTTATTTCATTTTTGTGAATTTGTTAAGATAATAATTTTATGTTCTACTTTTTTATCCATTAAAACTTTATGACATGATATGACTTTGATTATTTGAAGATAAATTAATATATTATCTTGATGTATTATTATTATGTTATGAATATTATGATCGTTTGGCTACAGATTTACGAATGAATGATATTATTTATTCATTTGTTTACTTTTCTATTGATTTATTTTTTTTTAGTGCATCTATGTAACTCACTTGATTTTCATCATACTATTCTGTTTTGTATCGAGTTGATTATCTATTTGCTTTCATAGATTTATCAGACATGATCTTAATCAATGATTTTGCTTTGATAGATTCTTTAGATAATTGTAAATGTTTGCTGTTAGTTTATTTTTTTTAATATTATTAACGTAGATCATATGTCCCTACTTTTTATAATTCTTCTAATGAACTGTCATTACTTTGATCATAATATTCATATGGAAATCGATACTCGTTGTTATGACGAGCCATCTTATATTTTTATTCCACTTCCTATTAGAATTTGCGTAACTGCTATTTCTAATCTTCATCATCTGTTTAAGGTTTACTTGATATCTTTTTAAGACATTATAATAATTATTCTTGCTTCTTTTTAACTACTTAATCCATTTTTATTATTTTTTAATATTTTGGGAAAAATTAACTAAAAATGTTATTTTCTTGAATTCATTATTTTATATAAATTTACAGATATAATCTTATAACAATATTTAAATACTGAAAATCTCTATTAAGTTAAGATATCAATAGAAATATAATTGTTATTAATCATAATCTAATTATTTTTTATGGATAAAATCTAATAAATTCTCAATTTAATTTGTTCTTCTTAGAAATTATTTAAATATCCCCATTATCATATTCAACTAATCTTTTTTATATCTAATTAGATAAATTTGTACTGTGATTTTATACAGATTTAAATAAATCAATTTCATTTTCAATCACATTATAATTTTAATATTATTATTATGGTTTAGAATCAATAGATAATTTATTAAATTGCTATTACATATAGTGGCACTTAATTAATTTGAAAATGTCATGAACTGTTTAATAATTAGAATGATTCTTCCAAAATTTTAGTTCTTATTCCTAAAATAATAAAAATAGAATTAATACTATATATTTAATTATATTTTAATTGCCCCCTTCATAAATGATCTTAAATATCTCCATAAATTATGAAAATATTAAATTTTTTCTTATTCCTCTATATCATAATATGGATGATATCAAATTTTGCAAAGCCATTATGATTTCTTTATTTATATAATCATTTCTTTATAAAATTAAAATTTTTAAAAACTATAAACACTTCATTTATAAAATTTTATTCTTTTCTTACAATATAACTCCAATTTTCAAAGTAATTTAATTTAAAATTAATACTTCCTTTACAGATATTTTAAAGTTTTTGGATAACCCTAAAAATATTTCAACAAATTATATTTTCTATTCAATTTAGATTGATGTGAAATTTATTATGATATTTTTAGGTAAAAGAATGACAAAAAAACAATCGAATGTTTCATTTTATTCAATTTAAGTGTTATCTATAATTAATTTCAATATTTCTAGATATAAATCGTTCCCAAATGCATGATCCCCAATTAAATAAAATAGTGGATATTTGAGCACTTATTGATCCTCACTAATTATATACTATTTAAAATTGTAAGGATAATGTTATAAACATGTAATAACTAGTTCTAATATCATAGTAGATGTTTTTATAAAAAGATCATCCTATTTGAAATATTTTATATTTACTTCAAATTTTTGAGTTTAGTTTTTTACTTTTATAAACCTTAAAGTGAATCTATAATATAATCTTCAATAATCATATATAATCCAAGGTCACCTAATTTCTAGTAAATGAATGTTTTATTTATCTTAATAATTATATATATATAATTACATCTTAAAATTCTTAAATACTGAACAAAATAATCCTATTATTATTAGTTGAATTTAATTACTTTTTTATTAATTAAGTAATCTGATAACATATATTTTGTTTATGTACCGCTTTAGACTAGTTTATTCATAATTTCTAGAATAAGAAGTAGAGTATTCTCATTTACAGGAGTCTAAAATATAGAATTATTATCTTCTTCATTCAATATATTCGGAATTCTAATCCAGACTATTTATGCTCCTTCCTTACTCTAGAAACTAAGTCCATAATACTCATTAAATTGAAATTAAATTCCTTCTTCTACAATTTGGTAATACTATTACCTCCATCAAAAAGGATATTATATTTTTATTTCACTGAAATAGCAAATACTTCTATATTTTTATCCTTCTCTAATAGTAACAATTCATTCTAATTATATTAAATCAAATTAAGAACTCTTGAATTAAAATGAATATATCCTGTATTCACCCAATTTCATTTATCATAGACAAAACTAATGTAATTTACACAAATGAATTTCAGAATTTTTGTTCATTATATATTTTAAATATTAAATCTTTTTTATCAAAAACAATCATTTAATTATTTTTATACACTTTTCTTAATTCACAAATCAATCATCTTCTCTATTGTAAGAGATTGCATCAATAATATTAACTTCAATTCATCATTTTCTTAATTATTCTATATCTTTCCTAATTCACAATCTTAATCCTAGAGTTGCTCAAGACTTTTGATTTTTTCTTCTATTACATATTTCTTTTTAATAAGATCTTTTTATAACTATTTTATTGAATTAGGCATAATATCTGACAATTATTTTTATAATTATTAATTAATTTATGCAATTAACTATCCAATACATTAAACCTCATCTTTAATCAATTTCTAATAAATATATTTGATATATATACTTTTATTTTATCAAATTATTATAATTAGTATTAAAAAGATCTTTATTCCTCCTAACCTTACAATTATGCTTGTTATGCTTCACAAATTTCTTGCAGCTTTAATATTTACTATCTATAATTATTACAATCAAGTTCATATTATTATAATATTTTTTCATATTAACAGTCATTATTGATAATTGATTACTATAAGATTTTATTTTCTTATAATGTTGCATAATATTGTTCTTCTAAAAACCTCAATTATCCTAATTCAAATTTCATTGTATCATTTTCTTTAATTAGATTCTAATTTTATTATATTACATTATCTAAATTTTTATTAATCTCCAAAATTCTTTGATTAAGAGTCAAATATACTTCCTCATTCTAAATTTTATCTTATAATTCAATAATTAACTAATTCTTTTTATTTAATTCATCCTCAAGCTCTTCAATTGTCCTCTTATGTCCTTCCAATTATTATTGATCAGGTATTTTAGAGATCAATTATTAGATTATTCTTTATTATTCTTCTAAAAGTTTGTTTTTTTTAGGAGTTTCTAAATTAAAGGGAGATTTTGATTTTGAATTAATTGATGTCTTAAATCTTTCTCTATATGTAGATAAATTAGCTCTTGAAGTAGATTGATTTGCAATTGTAGGATTGTTTTCACTATCTTTATTACTAGAAGTTCTCATTCCAAATGATAACCTAAATGATTATTATAATTTCACATCATTTAAGGTTTGCATTTAATTTTTAAGCATTTGAACTTAATTAGTTAACATATTTTAATTATGTTACTATTACAATTATAAAATTATAGATTGAATAACATTCTGAGTATCAATTATCACTTTTTTAAATTGTTATTAGCTTTAAATTGTATTTTGTTCTAGTTTTTAGTTTTCTAATAATGATTTTAAATGTTAGATTTAATTTTCTTAATTCTAACTTTCAATAGATCTAGTTGTTTCTTAACCATTAGAGTTTATTTCTTAAATAATTAAGTATATGAAATATTTTAAGGATATTAAATCTGTAGATCTATAAAAATCAAAACATTCATTAAAGTGTTAATCACAAAATTATTTAATTTTAGTCATAATTAGATCACATTCTTGTATTTTATGAATTTAAAATTCTTTTAATTTTTTTGTTAAATTTTATACTTTTATGTTTAAATTTGGAATAATAGGAATTTAATGACTTAATATACTATACTTATTATGTGTTGTAGATTGTTCAGATGGTGAATGGTCTATTTTACTAAAATTTTATTAACGTTTGCTTATAATAGATTCATAATATAGATTTCTTTTAAATTCTTTAGGTGATAAATTTGCAGTAGTTTTAGATGTATTTGTTGATCTATTTTCACTTACATGATTGCTATTAATATTTTTTACTCTTTTTTCCAATGCTTAAATTTTGGTTTTCAAATAATTGGATGATTATTAGAATTCAGAATAATTGTTAAGATTTGTAAATGGTTTTCTGCAATTACGAGAGGTAGATTTTGGTGAATTGGGAGTTTGAAACAATTACATTTGATTTAGCTTTGTATTTATTTTAACAGAATATATAATAATGATAAAAAAATCAATTAACTCAATTTAATTTAACTTTTTTGGATGCACTAGAGTCAGTATCACTATCAAATTATTCTAATTATTTAAGTATTTCTTATGCAAATTATTCATCAGATTCTAAACATTATTATTTAAAGACTTTTATACACTAAAATAGATTAGTTATATTACTTTGAGAATATTGTTATTTTATATTTCAATTTCTTCATTTGAGACTAAGAGTTCTTCTATTTATTTGAGTATTATATGATTTTCTCTACTGGTTAAAGCACTACTTTATTCAAGTTCTTTAAGATAAGCTTTTTTTCTATCTCTAGAATTCTAAGCAGAAATTCGATTTCTAATCATTTGTATCGTTTTTTTATCACTACAATAAATATAAGTATTACTGATCACTATTGTCTTCAACAAATTGTTTTTCAGCACATTTGATAGGTTTTCTACCTCTTTTTGCTTTTTTTGGCTCTTAAGGTTGTTGAGATGAATAAAGATGAGGCTATAAGATTTGCATACGATATTTAGCTTTGTCTCTATAAAATTTGCGTTTAGCTTTTAACATCATTGATTCAAATTCAATAGGTTTATTGCGTGCAATCCAATCAACATACTCTTCATTTAAATTGAGTATAGATGAAACAATTTAACAAAGATTAGAATTTTCATAAGTAATAAATTATGGTTGTTCTTCATAATATTAAAATTATGAACATTCTTCTTATTTAACAGAAGATAAATCATCTTAATCTTCCATAATTCCTGTTAAAATGTAATGGTGATAAGGGTTCATTAATTTAATTATATATAGTATAATTGAAAAAAACTGATCCTTAACATTCAAATCATATATAAAGGTAGAATAATGAGTTGCAAGTATTTATTAATTGAATAATATTTATAATTAAATGAAAAAGACTCATAAGAGATAATCTACAATATATCGATAATCAATAGCAATGTCTGAGTTTTCACAAAAGTTATTAGAGAAAAACGATGTTTTGGCATAAGAAATATAAAAAATAGTGAAGAAACTATCACCTCAATGTAGAATAGAGAAAGCTGAAAGACATATTTATGATGCTTATTATTTACGAGCTATACGCAATGATATTGATTTAGTAAATAAGACATACTTGAAATAATTGTGGTATTTAGAGAATAATCAATATTGGTTAAATGGCTTATTTCTATTGTCAATCATTTATCAATTATTAACATTTTTTGAACCTTCATTTGTTGATTAAGATGATTAAGATCATCCAAATTTATTCATTATTGAACTTATAATCTTACTATTTATGGGCATTGATTCATGTATTACAATAGTATTACTATTAACAAAGAAAGAAGGCAGATTTACATTCAATCCAAAAAAATAATTTAAACTGATTGCATACTATTTTTGTTTAGTTGATTTCATAATACATTCATATGAACCTACTTTATTTAGAGTCAGCAAAATATGTAGAACTTTATTAATGCCTATGTATTCTAAAGATTTAAGACGAAATTTAAAAGGAATATTTAAAGCAGGCAAAGATTTATTTTTACTCATTATTCTGTATCTAATTATAATTTCAATATTTTCATTTATTGGAATTAATTTAATTGGAAAATTGGATAATGTAGATCTAAGAACATAAGATTATGGAGATTTCTTTAAATTATTTTCAATGTTATTTATGGTAGCAACCCTTGATTTCTATCCAGATATTTTAATTCCACCTATGCTTTAAGGAATTTATTATTGTTTATTCTTTATTACATATCTATTACTATTTATTTTCTTATTTGCACCAATTCCATTAGCAGTTGTATATGAAGGATTTAGAAAACATAGAATGGAAATAGCTATTAGTGATATCATTAAATAAAAGACTGCTATGATGGCTAGTTTCATATCTTTAGATTTTTAAGATTAAGGGTTTTTGACAAGAGATTAATTTCGAACATTTATCCTTCATTTCTATAAGAATTCCATTACTGAATCATAAATAAATTAATTATTCAATTAAATTGATTAGGATTTTAAGTAATGTAATTATTACAATATAGCGATAAGGTTCAATTTGATGAATTTCATAAGTTTCTTCATTTACTCCAAGATGCATCAGTATTTTCATTACCAGAAACAAAACCACTTCATTGTTGGGAATAATTTAGAAATTATTTAATATCTAAAGGTTTATTAACATTTGTAGAAGGAAATGTATAATATATATAATTATTATTTTAGATATTTGGAATTTCTATGTTGATAATAACAATATCTAATTGTGTTTTAATAGTAGTAGCATTTTTTATTGAAGATTAAGATATCCTTGATATTTTCAATTTGTTAGACACTATATTTTTGATCCTCTATTCTTTAGAATGTTCTATTAAAATTATAGCTTTAGGTATAAAACCATATTTTGAAGAAGGATGGTATAATATATATATTTATTAAAAAATAGGAATATTTTTGATATTACTTTAGTAATTCTACAAATAATATTTGATTATATATTATTTAATATAGTATCAGGAAATATTGTTTAATCAATCAAAGCTAATAGATTGTTGAGATTAGCTAAAATATAGAAAGTATTTAGATTGTTTAGAGCATTTCGATCTCTAAAAATAATAAATATCTTATTTGAAGGTTTACAATTTTTAGATGTAGTAAGAACACTATTATACAAAATCATTATTTGTGTTCCTTTAATTTTAAGATTAATGTTACCTGTACAAATGGTATTCTTTATATATTCTTGTGTTGGTATGTATTTATACGGTAAAATACAAAGAAATGAAGATAATCCATATGCTAATTCTTAATGTGATATAAACAATTTTGAATATTCATGGGGAAGTTGTAAATATGCTGATTTTTCTACTTTTGCAGGATCATATTTAATGATGCTTTAAATGTTTATAGCAGCAGAATGGAATTAAATAGTATTTGAATTAACATATGATACTGATGATATGGTATCAGCTATGTTATTTGTTGGTTCTTTTGAATTCTTTTCAATATTTCTATTAGCCTTAATTGGTGGATTAGTTTGGGAAGTCTTTACAGTTGTATCTTAATCATTGAAATAGGAAGAAGATAGACTTTCTTAACTTGAAAATAATTTAGATTAATAATAAGAAAATAATAATAATAATCAAGCAGCTACACATGATAAGAAAAAGAAACTTATTTTAAATGATGATAATCCAGATGAAATTAGGTTTCATCGTAAATTTAGAAGTGATAAAATTAGTAAAACTCATACAAAATTAAATAATATTTAACCAGGTTTTGAAGATGACATAGTAAATGATGAGAGACCTGAATTAAATATATCTTAACCTAATTCAAGAAATTACTTTTTATATCATGGTGGTTCAGGTAGAAGAGTTGTTCCATTTTAATCTTCTAAATTTAATATTTAAAGAAATGATGTTATTGATCATTTTTTAAAGAATTTTATAACAGCTGATATGTGGTTATAGAAAAAGTAAATAGAAGGTTTAGATATAAATAAAGTAGCAATAGATTATATGATTCATTTAAGAAGTGAAATTAAAAAAGATGAAATGTTTTAAAAGAAGAATTTTAATATATCAAATCATCATTTACTAATACAAAATGCTGTACTAAGAGATGCATCTGAAGTCTATATTAAATAATAAGAAGATAAATTCTTTAAAACTTCTTTTGGTTAAAAATTTGAAAGAATATAAGAACTCAAATTTTAAAGTAAATTTAAAATTGAAAGTAAAATCATATTCTCATTAATGGGAATATTGAAATTCCCAAATCCAAATTTAAAATACTACTTTTAAATTCTTAATTTAATAGAAAATTACTTCACTTATTAATTACTTTCTGATTATTCTTTTTTTAAACTTATTCATCAAATCAATAATAAATGGTATACTATTAGCATAGAAGAAGGATAAATTTATTTTTTTAAAGTTGGTAATGGTCCTTGGGATTATACAGAATAATTATTTTCAGAAAGTAATATAAGAATATGTGAAAATTTATCATCTCTTTTAGAATCTGGTAATCAAGAATGTCTAAGAGCAATTGAATAATTTAGTATTAGTGTAAAATCTATAGCAAAAAACTTTGAAATAAGTTTACCTTCAATTGATATAAATAATTCTTGTATACTTTATTAGATTAAGAATGAAAAACTAATTGTAAATGATATTTAATCATTAAAAATAAAAAAATGTAATTTTTTTCATTTAAATTTATTAGCTAATGTTACTTCAGATGATTAATCCCCTAATAATCAATAATATGTATATTTAGATTCATAAAATTAATTAAATGGTTTTTTAAAACTTAATCAATCTCCAAAAATAGAAACAAGTAATTTAGATGAATAGAAAAATGTTAATCAAACTATTTTATTTGTCATAGCTAGAACTACAGCATAAGAATAAAGAATCAAATATTAAAATATTACTATGTTAATCTAATTCATATAAGATTTGGGGAGTGTTATACAAAATTATAGTTCCACTTTCTTTAAATAAATAAATAATCTTTATGAACTAAGATATTAAGACAAAATAAAGAGTATGCGTAAATTGTGATATTGAGTAGACGCCTCTAATTTATAATTTTTGTATTTCTATAATTCTTTCTATTAATTAAATAAATGAATAATTGTTTGTTAACACCTAAGTCTAAATAACCAAAATGCCCAAATGCTCCTAAGAAATAATACTATACAACCAGAATTAATGAATAATCAATAAGTTCAGTTTGTAGAGTTCTTTTCTCTGATGAACCAAAACCTTAAATAACTTCTGCAGAAACTGCTTGATTTTTGTATATTACATATAACTATTATATTGAAACTCTTAATATTTAGATCTATCAATATCATAAAATGAATAAAAGAATTATATATTCAAATGTTTTAAACTAAAGTTCTACTAATATGAAGTTTATTATCCATAATAAATTAAAGAATAAAAATTATTAATAAAATTATAAGCTAATTATGGATTTAAGAAACAAAAACACTAGAAATATACTTCTTCAACTTCTAGATAAATAGCTTAATACTATTCTATCAGATAATCATCCCATAACAAAATTTTAAGATTAACTTATTCGATTTCAAGGTGGAGAATAATAAAAATAGGTAAAATAAAGATAATATTCACCATCTCCTAAATTTATGCGAACTCATAGTTAATCTGAACATATTACTTTTTATGAAAGATAATAATCTCAACTTAAATTAAAAAACTAAAGATTATAATAATCAAAAGAAAAGTTAATCTTAAAAAAACTAGAAGAACAAAACTAACAAAATACATTTCATCCTAAAATATTAAAACCAAAAAATATGAATTCCTAAGTTAAAAATGATATTTATAAATCAGGTATTAAATGGATGCAATAAAAAGTATTTAATATTATCTAAGTAGATAAGGCTGATCATATAGATAAATTAAAAGAGTCATCCACTATTTAAATGAATCAAGAAAATTCATTTAAACCTACAATTAATAAGATTTCTTAGAAAATTATCAAATAAAACAATTAAAGCGACTTTTTTTAAAGAATGAATACAAATGAGACTAAAAAATAACAGAAAATTAAATAACTTAGAAATGATGCAATTCCATCTTTTAAACCTTAAATTAATAGTAATTATATATATAATAATATTAGATCGTCTTAAAAAAGTGTAAAACAATTAAAATAAAGATATTTTATAAGTATCTGTTAATTTAGAACTATTAGAAAAAGTAAGAGATTATTACTAGAGAGATAACAGTTAATCCAATTTAAATATAAGTTAAATTGATTATAGAAATAGAGATTGTAATTCTGCTCTCTCTTAAACTATAGAGATTGATAAATAAAATTCTTAATCTCCTAGTTTTAGAAATTCTACTATTAAAAAATAATCTCGACTTTAAACTGATTTCAATTCACCTAATAATAATTTTACAGAAATGTTATATGAAGCATTAGGTGATTCATAATTTGATTACTTTTGATTTAAATATATATATATATATATATAAGTATTAAATCATATATCTCTGAGCATAATATTTGAAAAACTATTACTTGATATATCTGGTTCAGTGCTTAAATTTTCATTTTTTAATTCAATGTCAAATTTTTACTTGAATTACAATAAAGATTATTTAATATTCCCTTATTTTTAATCTTAGAATATATATAGATAAATATATTACATAATTATTAATCCTTAATTTACAATTCTTTTGTCATAGATTCCAATTTAATTTCTGATGCTTCTAGTTATCTTCTCATTTCTTTTATTTCCTCTTAATAGATTTATGAATTTGTTTCTTATTTATAAATTTCTATTTATTTTTTATAATGTTCTATTTCCTCTTTCAATATTTCTATTTCTTTTGTTTTTTTAATATCTTCTTATTCACTTTCTTAAATATATTATGCATGAATTGCCTTTTAATAATAATTTCTAATACTTTTAACTCAACGATTTGATTTAATTAAGCCTCAAATCTTTTAAGCCATAACTATTCTTCCATTAACTTTTATTTTAATTATTTCTCCATTAATTTTAATCTTTATTCACATTCTTTATGAGAATTAGTGTTATTTTCATGTTATTTCTTATTAATCTAATTGCCATCATGCACAGTCAAAACCTTCCCTTAAATGTTATTAAATAACTATTAGTTTAAGGCAGCATTTTAATTCTCTAACTACTAGCAATATTTCTTATAATATCCTAGTTCTTCTTATATTTTTGAAACAGAATCGTATTCCATTAATTATAACTGTTAGTATTTTATTTATAAATATTAAAAAACTATGTTAAAAGAAATTACTAAAAAGATATACTTTCCTATTAAATAAAAATAAACCTATAGATAATTATTTTAGGATCAAGTGACAACACACTCAATCTTATACCTTAAAATTTCCTAGAATATCAATTAATTAAGATTTTTTAATTTGTTATTAAACAACCTATTTATGCTAAGATAATTTGTATTATTTAACTCATTATATTAGATTATTCAAATATCTTAATAATTTTAATAATCATTTAATAAATTAATAATAGAACTAGCTTAAATAAAAAGGAATTAATCTAATTTATGAAGATTTGATATAGTTTAACCAAAATCATAAATAGCTTAAAAACTATTTAATTTTGAATAAACAATAGCAATAATAAATGATAAAATAAAGTATATTATCCTATTAAATTATCAAAATATATTATCCTATTATACTATATCTATATTTTATCACCTTTTTAGATTGATCAACTCTAAAAGATATAAATTATTAAGTATCTAATAGGATTTCTTTATTATTTATAGATTGTAATAATGTTGTTTATCTATTGTTTAATAAATTATGGAGTTTAAATGATTTATCCATATTCAGAAATATATATATGTTTAAATATGTTAATATAATGTTTAGTATATTGTAAACAACTTAAATTGTGATGATTTGATCATTAATTTAAGTAAATATAAATATTTTTAACATAAAATCTGAGATAAATATTATAAATTAATATATAAAAAAATTCAGAAAACAAAGTTGGTTTCTTTAGAAATTGATTAGAAATTGAAGTTGAATATGATTTATGAATCAGAAATGATTATTCGTTTATATCAATAGAAATACAATTAATGTTTGATGAAATGAATGAAAATATATGTATCTTATTATTTAGTTAATTTTTGTATTGTTTTTGCTATTTGAACATTATTAAAATTTTTCATTTTTTCTACTAAAGAATCTAAAATCTTTTGAAATCAATGTTCCAGAATACTTTATCTTCATTAGGTAATACTTGAATTTGATTAGATTTGAATAATAATGGTTCATGAATGTCTTTCATCCTTATTTTTAATTTCTGACACTTCAACAGTGGTAATAACAATAACTCATATGTGATATTAAGTCAACAATAAAGGTTGAGGATGGCTTAGAGTATAAAAATATATAATTTCTAGTGAATAAAGAATTGAATCAAAATCAACCATATAGTCTATAGAATAGAACTAAAACTAAAAGAAATAAATAAAGAAAACAAGAAAGAAAAATTCAAAGAAAATGTATAATAATGGTAAAATAATAATTAAATACTAGGTCACTGGACAAAAAAGGAACATCGTTTATACTTATAATTTATTGAAACAAATAAAGAGATTATGATGAAATCAGACATGAAAAAACAAGAGAAAATCTTTAAATAAATGTCTATTGTCATTAAATCACGATCTCCTTCATAATGTAGATCTCACCATTAAAAATTCAATCCTTTTTGAATATCATCATTGATATATATATATTAAAATAAGAAACAGTTGATATTTATTTATAATTCAAATTATTTCTACTTACAAATAATTATTAAATATCATGTTTGAAATCCTATTGTAATTGATACCAGCTATGAATAAAGAACAAAAAAAGATAATTTTATAAAATATAAATTGAATATATAAATTATAGTACTAAAATTCAGAAATCTCATTTTAAATTAATTACATTAAAAACAACACTATATTTAATTGAGAATGAATAATTTATTCATTCAATTTAAATTTATTATTTATTTAATATAAAAAAAATAAACAAGATACATATTAATTATTCCAAAATTTCATTTATTTATCTTCTTTTCTTAAAGACCTATTAAAATATTGACCAATTTATTAGAAATCTGTTTATAATCAATTAAAGAAGATGTTTGATTAATTATAATCATTAAATTTAGTTTACTATTATATATATTCTTAATTTTATTAAGATTCTTATTTATTACATTAAATTCTATTCATAATTTCAATCAAATGAGAAATTTCTCTTTTCTATTGTAGATATTTGATTCTAAGCTATTAAAGAATGATCTTAATATACATTTCTTCCTTAAATATATTTGACTCTAACTTATCTTATATATTTTAATAGAAATACTACAGATAAAGTATTTATCAACAATTCTTTATTAATGTTGAAAAGAGTAGATATTAAGATTTTTGATGTCTTAACCTGTAATAATTTTAATATAACTTTATTAAAAGATATTTAATTTTTAATTGATGTTAAATCACTTCAATTATGAATATCCTCAGATTTTGAACAAAATAAGTAAAATCTACTTTATTTAGATTATTATGATATAATTATAATTCATTTATATATAATTATCAAATTAATCCAACCAAGATATCTAGATTTGGCATATGAAGTGAATTTACTAATTGTGTTTCTCTTTTTTTTGTTTCTTTGATGAGTATCCAATTTTATAATAAATTTTCTTAAACTCCTTTATTCTGAGTTTCAGCACCATTAGATAAAAAATTAACACTAAAGGTTTTTGGTTTATCATCTACTTTATATGTTTTTAGTTTTTAATTCAATGTATAAATCAAAGTTTTGAGTTGAATATCTGAGTCAAATTAAGAGAATTATTCATTATTTTCTTAATTAAAAACTATATTGATTGTATAAGTAGTAAGAATCTTATTTTCTTATTTAATTTATATCTCTATGCCTTCTAATATAGATATTAGATCTTGTAATTATTAAATCAATTTGTCTACATATTCACTCAAAATTGACTACTTTAAACTCCAAAGTGTTAATCCAACAGCAGATTTCTGATGAAAACATTCTGCTGGATAAACTTGAAATTTATATAGGAGCTGTGTCAATGATAAGCTAAACAAATTGGTTATTAGGTTTATATATTATTAATTCATTTAATGGAGAATGAAATCACAAAGATGGAATATAATTAGCTTCAAAAAGAGGCTAATTAATGTATGGAAAACATTTTGTTTTTGGCAATAGATAAAAAGTAGTAACCAAATGTAAAATCAGAGGAATATCAGAGATGTTAAAGATTAGTAACAGAATTTAGAAAATAATTTATTGAACATATGGCTAAGACTTTAAATTTAGATGAGAAATCTGTTTAACACATAAATTCATAAATGAACAGCAAATAAAACTGAATGAAAATAATTAAAAGTATAATCATATAATTTATTGATTGACATAATGCTACAATCTATTTTTGACTTTGGTTAAACGACATCTACATTTTGGTAATAATGTGATAAAGCATTACTTGATGTACATCTATATCTCTCATAATAAGGAATAAAATGAGTTACTAGAGCATGAATTCTTGGTCGGCTCTAAAGAGAGGTTGATTAAAAAAAAGTTTCTTGTGATGAGTTAAGATTCAATTTTTAGAATTTCTTTATCAAATCTTAAGAGAGCACCATTACTAACAATGCATGTTTAGTTTATTGAAGCTTCTTCTGATAACTTTGTATAATTAAACTCAGATGAATAATTATATGGTTTTCACCTTTCTTATTAAGGAAAGAGCCTAGAAATATTTACTGCAGACAAAATTAATTATGATATATGGAAGTCTCATTTCAAGAGATTTACTATTTTGGATAACTTTCATGAAGCTTATTCAGTATCTAAAATGATTGGAAAAGGTAGCTTTGCAAAAGTGTATCAAGCAACAAAAAAGGAAAATAATAATTAATATGCTATAAAAGCATTTAGTAAAGCATATATGTAACAGTAATCTAAAGGAATTGAAAGTATGCTAAATGAAATAAAATTAATGAGAAAACTTAATCATCCTAACATTGTGAAATTATATGAAGTACATGAAACCATTAATTCAGTTTATTTTGTATTAGATATGATCTAAGGTGGTGAATTATTATAAAGAGTAAGAGAAACAGGTATATTATGAATAATTATTTCTTAGGTTTTTTACCAGCAGAAACGATGCAAAAGTTAGCATTTAATTTGATAAGTGCTCTAAGTCATATGCATGAAAATCGTATAATTCATAGAGATCTTAAACCAGAAAATCTACTATTAAGATCAACAGAAAATAATTATGAGATTATTTTAGCAGATTTTGGATTGGCTACAAATTTAGATGAAGAACCTTTATTTAAAAGATGTGGTACTCCTGGATTTGTTGCTCCAGAAATCTTAGATTATATTGATGGTTAAGAATTTTATACAGATAAATGTGATGTATTTAGTGCTGGAATCATTTTTTATTTATTAATTGTACTTAATCTTGATTTAAATTTTAGACTGGAAACACTCCCTTTATAGGAACTGATCAAAAGTCTATTCTTAAAAATAATAAATAATGTGAAATAGATTTTAAGGAACATCATTTTAAATTAGCACCAATATAAATGTAGGATCTAATTTAATCTATGCTCTAAAAGAAAGTTTCTTATAGATTAAGTTCATAAGAAGTACTTTTATTAATTAAATAATTATTAGTGTATGAGACATCCTTACTTTAAATAATTAGTCAAAGAATATAAAGTTTAAATTGATAAATACTAAAACAATTTATAAGGATATTAAGAGATTTAAAATGCTAGAAAAATTGGCACTTAAGAATTAGAATAGAGATCTCCTCTAAATTTTAATTCTTCTGATTCTATTTCTTCAAATATTTCTTAAAATAGATAGGATCAGAGAAAATCATCAATTGTAGTTGGAGCTTCTAAATTTAGTCAATATAGTGCAAGATTATCAAAGTAGAATTCAAGAGAGATTTCGGGTAATTTAATTAATTAATATGAAGATATTCCATTAAAATAAGAACCAAAAAAAGCAAGAGATTTACATAGATTGGCTTTGACCAATAGTTAATTGAAATAGATAGCCTTAAATTAATTTGATAATGTCGAAGATCCAACGGCTGAGGATTGTAATGTTGGAGTTATGGTTAGATAATATAATTCAACCAGACAAATCAGAATACCAGATAATACATTAAAAATTAAAGAATGCAATACTCCTACAATGTAAAAATAATAATGAGATAAAATTATCATTTTTCATTTCTATCCTAATCTCTAATTTATTATTATTCTGGATTTGATCTAATATATTGTTTTAAAAAATCTGATTCAGAGTTTATGTATTAAATATAAGATGGATCAATAGTAAAAAAGTCTTTTATTGGATAATCTTTTTCTAAACTTATGAATTTTTTACTTAATGCCAAAAACCTAAAATATATATATAAATATAAACATTAAAGTATCCTATTCTTGAGTTTAATTTAAATACTTTTCCATTTTTGAAAAGATATACTTTTAGTAATAATATTTAAACCAATGAGCATAAATTTCATAATTTGGTTATTATTCTGCTTTGCTTAAAAGTGTTTTAAATTTTTTCAAAGCATCATCGTTTATCTCGACTTCCCCTTAAAGAACTTATTAGATTGATTCCTAAATCATTAGATTATAAATACTTTGAATTATAATAAATTAATTTGAGTATTCTCTTAGACTTTCTCTTTCTACTATTCTACTTTTTCATATTTATCTTTCATATAGAATTCACAATTTATATTTATAGAATTTTCTTTAAATGCCTCTTGTATTTATTTACAAACCTAATTATATTAATTTGAAATTAAATATATTTAATTTAAGTTTATTGCCATTTGATATCCACATAATGCTGCCTTTAATATATTTTAATCTTAATTACCAAATATTGACTTATATTTTTTTCTAATATAAATATAATATTTACAAACAAATTAAATATTATTATACTGATTTAGCTAATTCTTCTCTAGCCATTAAATTACTTATCAAAGTTCTAACTTGATAAGATTAATAAGATTCATAAGATCGTTTTAAGCCTGTATTATCATTAAATATGCCAGAAGAAGGTTCTATTGTGGATTCGAAATCTTATTATTGGATAATTCTGGTTGAATCAGCACATTCGTCAGGAGTTAGGAACATTTTAAATACTGATGGCCAATCTATTCTGTTGTCTTCATTATATGTTAGAGTTTTTGACATAAATAATAGTAGCAAATCTTTCAAGTGTTTTTCGCCTTAAATTCTCATTTCAGGAAATATCATATCCTTTCCTTTTAATAATGCTTCTTAGTGTAATTTCAATTCCTGCAATGATCTCTTGTCAAATGGTAATTTTAAGAATGTTACATAATATACTATAACACCTAGCTATTAATATTTAAGTTATAAATTACACTAAAGATATCAGTTTTAGATGAATATATACCATCATTCAAAATTTATGGAGATGCATAATAAGGTGTACCTACTTATGATTGAATTACTAATTAATTTCTTGCTTCTTTATCTAATATTTTACTCATTCCAAAATCAGAAATCTAAATATTATTATATTTATTACTTTTATCTTGCCATCATTACCAAATAATAAATTTTCTGGTTTCAAATCTCTATGAATTATAGAATTTTTATAAAGAATACTATATCCTTTAATAATCTATGTTGTCATTTCAATAATTTCTGTTGCAGTGAAATATTATTTTACTGAGGCTCTTGCTTTTATTGTACTCTCTATATGACCTTGACTACATTTTTCCATAAATATATAGCAGGCCCTCTTATTCCAATCCTCATGTATATCAACTACTTTAATAATATTAGGATGATTAAATTTCATAAGATTAAATAATATTCTTATCTCTCTTCTCACAGCATTTTAATCATATTCATCAGAACTCAAATTTATTATCTAATGAATCACAATCAAATATACCTTCGCACATAATGGCATTTATATACCATCTTTTTCACACTCATAAACTGTTGCAAATGCTCCCCTTCCTATGTATTTGTTTAAGTATATTTTGAAGCCGGCTATATCTTATTTCATTCTACTAAAATTAATAACAAAATAATTAAGAAAATATTTATTAAAAAATTTTCATATTTATTTAAGTTCTTCCCATCAGAAAATTTTGAGTATTTATATCTGAATTAAATATATTTAATAAATCTTTATAAATATTTATCAATCCAATATACAAATTTTTGTAATTCAACTGAAATAACCAAAATTATTAATTCTAATATTAATTCATCAATAATATTCTTCTATTAAAGTAATTTGAAATCAATCTAATATCAAAAGGTTTTTTAAAGATACAACTTATCTCCTTTTTGTTTGTATTTAATTACTCAAATTTTAGATCTGTCTAAAAATTTAATATTTTCTTTGAACTTTAATAAATTCAAATCAATTCAATTCAAACTATTCTAGAATATTACTATTCTTCAATTTTCAATTTATTGTTCTAATAACAAAAATAAGTTTATAAACATTGTTTATAATCATAGTTATTTAAAATATCAGAGTTTAAATCATTTTATCTATCTAATAATAGCCCTTAGAATTCTCTAAATATTCAATATTTCCTATATTTTATAATTAATTTATAAATTAAATTTATAGATTATCATTATCGTCATAACCTTCTTAACTAATTATTAGAATAATATAATAAAAAAAGATAGTTAAATGAAGTATTAACTGTATTTTTATTATTTAAGCATAGATTTTTTCATAATATGTAATAAAACTTAATCTCTATTAAAATAATATCTAGAATGAATATAATTAGTATACCCTCAATAGGATAGGTCAGAAAGTTTAGAAAGTTTGAATAAGAGTTTATGTAATTTATCTGAATGGAAACAACTATTTGAATTTATTAAAATAATGTGAATAAAACAAATTTATTTTATAATAGTCACTTGTAAATTTTAGTTGGCGAGGATTGCTCAGTTATTTATTCTTTGGTTCTTCTTCTCTTTAGGATTGTACTTTAGTCTTAATATAGTTTTATTTATTACCAATAGATTTAAGGGAGTAATTTCTGTTGTAACATTAGATATGGTACAATATTATGTTTTTGTTCATGTTTATTGGCCCATTTGATAAATTTTAGATAGGGACCTCGAGCAATTACTCCTTCTTTGAGATTTTCTATTGCAAGCATCCCATATTTATATCTCAAATAATTTAATTATACTTATATGAATAAAATTAAATACATAATGAAAAAAGATACTAATTTATACAATTATTAACAGGAAGATTTATAAAACTATTATAATATCATTATACCTAATAAAGAATATCTAGCCAATATTCAATAGAAATACTATTACATTATTAACTCAACTTTATCTATTAATTTTAAGATTTGTATTAATTATTTCATATATAAAGATGAAAAACTACAATAGTATTTTATGAACTTATTTATAGATAAAGTTTAATTTTTGATATCACAAGATTTTATTGATAAATATCAAACTGTTGGTTAAATTTACTATTTTTTAAATTGTTTATCTAAATTTTTATTGTAATTTTAGGAATAAAATAAAAAATTTGATTTTACATAAAAAAATTGAATAACTATTTTTTATTAAAAAATTATGGGTAAAATTTAATTAGAGAAAGAGGATAAAAACTTAAAGAAAGATAAAAAATTTAATAAAAAGAAGACAGTTTTATCTAAAGGTGATATGGATGTTGAGAAACCTATGGGTATTAAGAAGAAAGTGATCAAATAAACTAATGAACAAATTAAATAAAAGCAGCTTAAAAAGAAAGTACATTAACTTAACCAAATAAAAACTTAAACTCAAACTGATACTTAAAAGAAAGCTGAAATATTTAAAGAATTCAATAAAAATCTTGATGAATAGATTCAAATTCCAAAAACTTCAACTAAAGGATAAAGAGAAAGATTGTTGAAAAAACAAAAAATTTTGAAAAAGAAAGTAATTTTATCATTAATATTTTAGTTATTGGATAAATATATCATTACAAAATAGAAGTAAGAACCATAAACTTTCATATTAGATTCATTGAAAAATAATTTATTAGATATTGATAAGTAACACCAAGAAAAACAAAAGTAATTAGAATTAGAAAAAAATAAAGGAACCTCTAGTCATTTAAGAAATAAATTGTTGAAAGAAGATCAAATTAGAATGAAACAGGTTTTCTAGATTAAACCATTCTAAGATAATCCTTTAGCAACTATGAAAATGCATTTAGAAAATACATATTCAAAAAAGTGATTAATTGTATATAAAAGTAAGTAATAAACATTTTCATGTTATATATTAATCAGTATCTTAAATTATCATATTTTAAGATGGATCTGATTATTAATCAAATAAATCTTCATCACTTTCTTCCATTATTCTTGAAGACTCTTTCTGTACTAATTATAGAAAAGGGTCTATAATTGAATCACTCTTAAAATCAAGTATTTAACCAGATTTTTCAAATAACTAAAAAATATAATTAACATAATACATTTAAGATATAAAACAACAAAACAGATTCACTCCAAGTAATCTTCAAATATTTTATCATTTATAAAACCTCTTCTTTATTCCAGATTTAAAGTTGTTTTGTTTAAATATATTCAGCTATTTCTGGTTATTTTAATGTTTATTTAATCACTTTTTCAGCTTCCTCAATTTTAAAATCAGGGTAATCTAAAAATGTTTTATATTTTCCAATTTAATTTAATAATGAATCTGCTAATTTATTTCCATAAGCTGATAATGATTTAACAACTTCTTATATTCTATCTTCACCTAAAGTAAAGGGTTCTTAACTTAAGATATATTCAATATCCTCTTTCTCAATTTGTTTTTTTAAATCTATAGCTTGCTATTTTAATTCTTAAATCATTTAAGTAAATTATTCATATGTGATACCTCTTATTATTAATTTATATTAAAGTTCCTCTTGAGTTTTTGATCTTAATTAAGTGCATGATATTTCAGTTGTTGCTTAAAATTTATTACTTTTAGAAGAATTTGTAGAACTTTTTTTATTTTATTCTGTTGTTATTCTCTGCATTTTATCTTCTAAATTAATTTTAATCTGAGATAATTTTGAAACTTCATTCTAATCAAACTTAAAAAAAATACTTGCAATTAACTAATTTTCTAATTATCATTTTATTATTTTTATTTCAAATCATTTATTTCTATTTACTATTTTATAAAACCTTATTGTGTTTTTTAAAAATTATCTTTTATCATATATAATTAATTTTGATATCTTGATATAGATATTATTTTAATACTCTTGAGTGCTTTTTTCTTATTCTTGTATCAATTTTTTCAACTTTTTAATCTCTTCTTTAAATAATTAATTTTCTATCTTTAATTCTTGTACTTTTGTAACTTTAGTATTTTTTTTCATTTGTTCTATTAAATATAATTTCTCTTATAACTATAACTATAAATCTTTATTTTATTTTTTGATCTATTAAATAATGTACTCATTATTTTTAGCTAAAGGATTATGCTTAATTTACAGTTCTTCTATATATTTATCAAAATTCTAAAGTTCTTTCTATCCATTTAATATATACAATACATCTTATTATAAAATTCGAGTTTTTAACTTAATATTTTCAGCTCTAATTAGATTAATTTCTTCTTTGAGAGATTTTATTTAAAAATAGAGAGTTTCTTTATCATGATAATCATTTTCTGGCCAAAACTTGGAAATATTTGCATAACTATTTTGTAAAATTTAATTACTTTCTTTATGTCTATAGTTTTGTATACTTTATTATATTTTCATGTGCTGATATAGATCTCTTTAAATAAAAAAATATTATTACAACTTCTTTAGACATCGATGAATAAATTTTAAATATTTATAATATTTATAATTGATCATAGATTTGCTGCAATACTTAATTTATTGCATGTATCTTCTAATAGACTTAAGAGATGTTCTTCTGACTATTCCCTAATTGTAATTTAGGAACAATAAGTTACCTTGTTTTCTTTTCTTAATCCAATTCTACTTTTACTCTATTAACGATATCTTTCAACATTTCAAATATAGACTATTCACTTTCATCTCTATTTCTTTTCTCTACATTTATTAAATTACTTAATTTAACAAGTTCATCAGTGATTGATTTCATAACCTAATAATAGATGGCTAAATCTATACATTTTAATCAGATTCATCTCTTTCATTTGATTCATTTCTGATGGCTTCTTAAATTTTTGGTAAATCATTTTACAATCCTTGATGAATTCCTTCTATAGCATCAACTCTGCTTGCTGTTTCTTTCTAAACTTCAGTTCTTAATAATGCAGTTTTATCCTCTAACAGACGTAGCACTTTAGATTCTCCTTCTTTTCTTGTTTGAGTTTCATTTTCAATTGCATTTTCAAATTTCTTTTCTAAAGCTAACACTTCCCTATTTTTAGTTTCATTAGCTTATTCTTTAGCTAATTTATCTTCTTCAACTTATTTTTGTAATTTCCCTAACTAATACATAAGATAAAATAATACTTGATCTCTAAGACCATTAAGTTTAGTAAAGATTTATTCTTAAAATTCATTAAATGCATCTTCAGCTTATTGGATTCTTTATTCAGCTTATTCAAGTTTTTAGAATCTCTCGTTTTCAACTCCTATTTATATGGTTGATAATTTTTCTGATATTTTTTAAATTCTTCCGCTGCTTGGAGACACTTATTAGTCTAGTAAAGATAGATGTTAAATTTTACATAAAGATCTTGAATTATACATTGTTAATAAATTTTATTTATGATTAAACTCAATATATATATAGAAATAAAAATGTCAATCTAATAAAAATTTTTAGTTCCTTTTAATACTACTTTAACCAATATCAAATTAAGAGATATCTGCAAAATCAGAATTTGAATTATTAAAAAACTCTTCTTTATCCTCTTGATTTGTTATTTTACTATTTCTGCTTGAAACCTAATTAAGATTTTTAAATATATGCTCAACATCAATCCCTCTTGATTTTACTGCTTTTACTAATGAAATTAATTTCTTCTCTTTCTCAGAAAGTGTCTAAATTTTAGTTTACATCAATATGATTTGGTTTTTTAATTCAATTTTTTCTTTTGTATTTGTTTACTATTTTTTAGGTTAAATTTGGTTTTAATTTTTTATCTGTTTTATTTACTCTAATTGAACTTCATAAAGTTTTTTCCTCTCCTCTGCTTCTTTATTTTGTATCTGTAATTCTAATCTTAATATATATATACATACTCATTTAAAATTGATTTTCTTTAGCTTGCTATTCTAATTCATGTATTTTTTACATCAAATTAGCTTTATCCTTATCATGCATAATTTATTTTTGGTGTTAATGTTTATTAGTGATTTCTCTAATTATTTAGATTAATTAAATTATGTAGCTTGACACTTCTTATTAATTAATGCATGTTCTTAATCCTATTATCAATTTTGAGAGTTATTAATTTAACTACTTAAAGCTTTTATTTTTCTCAAGATTATCAATCACATCTCTGATTTACCTAAGAATCTCTTTCTTTGAAGCTTCTTCCTTTAAATGAGCTTACTCATATAAATAACTTTAAACTGACATCATTTCTCCACTAAGCTTCAAAGTTGATTAAGTATTTTACCTACTCTTATATAATTCATACACATACTTTATTTATTTTCGTATCAGGAGTGCTAAAGCTGTTATTCAAACTTATGTAATAATTATATTTAGGAGCTGATACAGATTTCATTTTACTTAACAATTTTATTTTTTTTATAATAATTTTTTTTCTCAGTCTATTTCTCTCTAATAATTCACTTAATCATTTTGAATTCTTATGTATTTTCCTTTTATTATTNTATATGGTTGATAATTTTTCTGATATTTTTTAAATTCTTCCGCTGCTTGGAGACACTTATTAGTCTAGTAAAGATAGATGTTAAATTTTACATAAAGATCTTGAATTATACATTGTTAATAAATTTTATTTATGATTAAACTCAATATATATATAGAAATAAAAATGTCAATCTAATAAAAATTTTTAGTTCCTTTTAATACTACTTTAACCAATATCAAATTAAGAGATATCTGCAAAATCAGAATTTGAATTATTAAAAAACTCTTCTTTATCCTCTTGATTTGTTATTTTACTATTTCTGCTTGAAACCTAATTAAGATTTTTAAATATATGCTCAACATCAATCCCTCTTGATTTTACTGCTTTTACTAATGAAATTAATTTCTTCTCTTTCTCAGAAAGTGTCTAAATTTTAGTTTACATCAATATGATTTGGTTTTTTAATTCAATTTTTTCTTTTGTATTTGTTTACTATTTTTTAGGTTAAATTTGGTTTTAATTTTTTATCTGTTTTATTTACTCTAATTGAACTTCATAAAGTTTTTTCCTCTCCTCTGCTTCTTTATTTTGTATCTGTAATTCTAATCTTAATATATATATACATACTCATTTAAAATTGATTTTCTTTAGCTTGCTATTCTAATTCATGTATTTTTTACATCAAATTAGCTTTATCCTTATCATGCATAATTTATTTTTGGTGTTAATGTTTATTAGTGATTTCTCTAATTATTTAGATTAATTAAATTATGTAGCTTGACACTTCTTATTAATTAATGCATGTTCTTAATCCTATTATCAATTTTGAGAGTTATTAATTTAACTACTTAAAGCTTTTATTTTTCTCAAGATTATCAATCACATCTCTGATTTACCTAAGAATCTCTTTCTTTGAAGCTTCTTCCTTTAAATGAGCTTACTCATATAAATAACTTTAAACTGACATCATTTCTCCACTAAGCTTCAAAGTTGATTAAGTATTTTACCTACTCTTATATAATTCATACACATACTTTATTTATTTTCGTATCAGGAGTGCTAAAGCTGTTATTCAAACTTATGTAATAATTATATTTAGGAGCTGATACAGATTTCATTTTACTTAACAATTTTATTTTTTTTATAATAATTTTTTTTCTCAGTCTATTTCTCTCTAATAATTCACTTAATCATTTTGAATTCTTATGTATTTTCCTTTTATTATTCTATAAAATTTGCGAAACTGATTTTTTATACAAGTATTATAATATTAAAAACAAAAATGAATTTAAAAAAACCTGAAAAGCAATACTACTTAAGTCCATTTCCAAAGGATGTAATTGGATTAATAGCATCAAGTTGTGTTTAAAAATTTTAAGGGGCTTATACTTTGGAATTGCAACAAAAATAAAGCAGAACTTTGTAGGAGGAATTAATTTATAGATATTTTAAAGGAAGATCTCCCCCTCATGAACTGAGTTAATCTGATAAAGATGAGTTAGAAAAATTTGAAGGAAATGAATACCATTTATGTGAGTATAGAGGATAGCAATTTTTAAAGAAATATTTCCATCCTGAAGTGATAAAATTTAATGAATGTATAGAGATTTGCGATATTGAGAATGCTTCAAATTATAAGGGATTACTAATTCTAAAAAGATCAATGTGTAGAAGAAAATGTGAAGATAAAATGGATATGACATTAAAGGAATACATGAGAGATGGTAAATTCCCAAAAATGGAGGAAATCTTGAAAATGTGAGTATATTAATATATTTTATGAAGAGTAAAGAAATTGATAAATTCATGTATATATTATAATATAATTATTCGAAAGAAAGTATTCATAAATTATTAGATAAAGCGTAATTTATATAATAATTTAAGAATGACATCCTTAATCTATGAATAATTATTAGCAGCATATACAAATAAAGATAATTAAATAAGATCTTAAGCTGAAAAATCTTTACTAAATTCTTTGATGGAAAATTATTAGAATTTTTTATTTATTGCTTAATTAGCTTAAAAAAAAGATTAAAGTACTTATTTATGCTCCATTATAGTGTAGGAATAAGCTGTCAATTTATTAAATTTGGTTGTAATGAAAATGATGAATAATAATACAGGTACTAAAAGATCATATCTATTAGATATATTTACAATTTAATATATTAATTAATTGATATCTGTAATAACTTCATAAAATACACCTTTCAAATACAAATAATCCCTTATATAATCAATTAGTCTGATTTTGAGAAGGAATAATAGTAAATTTTTCTATTAAATTAGATCTTAAGGTAGATTTCGAAAACAAAATGAAAGAATACTTGAATTGTGAAGATTAGTTGCAAATATAAACAGGAATATTGTTTTTTTTAATTTTAGTAGACTCTTTAGAATTATAGAACTTTTCAAATGTTATGACAATCAGATATGGATGGATTACAGAGTATTTTAATAAATTCCTCTAAATAATGGCTATTTTGCAATATTAACCAATAGATTTATCGGATGAATTTATTAACACTATGAAATATTTTGCTTAATCTATTTAGGATTTATGTGAGAAGATATAATAAAAATCAAATAATTAAAGAGAACTAATTTAACCAATTTTTAATATTCTTTTCTCATTAAATTCATTTTCTGGTTCTTTAATCTTATTACTCAAATATTCCCCATAATTGGGAAAATAGATGCAAGATTCAATTATTTTAAATACTGGTAATAAGAACTTTGATGATAAAATCAATGAAATTAAAAGTTATGTTCTGAAAACCTATATGATAATCTTTTAAATTTTACTTAATACTCTAAATGAATAAATAATTAAAATAAGCTCTTTTAGTCCTTATTTTTATACAATAACTTCACTATTACTTTATTCAATCCTGATTTATACAAATAATGAACAAATTAATGTCATTCTGAAGTAATTCTATTAAATATCATTAGCAAACCATTTTTAAAAAATATTATAACGTATATTCTGAAATTGTTAGCAATTTTAGGATAATAGACAGAATAGTATTAAATATTCTAAAATTCCAAAGTGGCTTTGATAACAGATGTTATTTATCCTTTTTTAATAACAACTTCGGATGAATATGTATAGATGTAACAAGAACCAGAAGAATTTGTAAATTTAGCTCTTGATACCGTTGATAAAAAAGAGTCAGATATACCTAAAACAGCTGCAGCTCAATTATTACAAACTTTATGTGAACATATAGATGGATCAACTTTTTTCTTGTCTAATCTAGCTATTATTATAACATAACATGCAATCAATAGTTTTAATTTAAAATCTATTCCACTAAAAGAATAATAATAAACTTTTATTTAAGCGATTTCAAATAAGTATATACTTTAATTATCATATAAGGAAATTATTTACAGAATGCAATGCTGTCGATAGAATAGAGTGTAGTTTAATTGTATTGACAATAATGAGTTCTTTTATTTAAAAGAGAATTGACATAATAATTACGTTGGAATAACTTTTGATAAATAATTTAGACTTTTTCTAAAATATTCAATAGCAGATAATTAAAGTGAGATTTTCCTTATTTTATGGATATTTTGCTGATAATTTGTTTAAAAAAGACATATAGGCCTAGAGTATGCTTGCATATTTATCTATTCTTATTAATTTTGTATAACTATTATAACCAGTTGTTTTGTATTAATCAATAGATGCATTAAATGATATATTTGAAGATGATGAATTGAAAACAAATAAAATAGATTTGGTTAAAGTTATCTTCCCATCTTTATGTAATGGCTTGAGATTTAGTGTATATGATAGACATTTTGAGATGATCATAAATCTTCTTAAAAGGTATTCACAGGTATTTTAGTAAAATAATTAATTGTTAATTGGGCTGATGCAAATTTTAGTTCAAAGAATAATTAAAGAATAAGGATTAATTAATAAAGGAAATTAATAAAGAGTAATTTATTTAAACAGATGTTGGAATATAATTAAATCTTTGGCTAATCAGAATGAATATACAAATTTATTAATAATTCTAGAATAAAGCATCACTAAACTATATTAAATGTTAGCTAATTGTTAAAAAATAGATTTTTATGAAGATCTGATTATATTCATTTCTATTTGCATATAAAAATTATAATCTGTATCTACTTTGTAAATATAAGTTTTACCTCACTTTATGAATATAATATAGAAATAACATTGCAGATTAGGAAATCTATATGAAACTTTAAATTATTATATTCATTATGGTAGAAATCATTTTATAGATGAATAATATTAGTAAATATTTTTCAACTTAGCATTTTAACATCTTCAATCTGATTTTTACTTTGTAGACATAGAATAAGCTGAAGGTGCATTACTGATTTAATTAGGAATCTAAGAGCTCAATTAAGATATAAAGAAATTTATCTTGGAATCAATTCTTAATTAAACTGTAAAAATCATATCAAAGAAGGAACTTAATAGTCTTCTAAGATCAAGAATTACTGGAATTATATTAAGTGCATTCTACTCAGTTCCTGAATTAACTTCTTAATTATTATCAGGAATATTTTCAGTTGTATTTAATTAAGTACTTGATACTCAATATTCTCCAGGTTATGATATTAAATTGTTTGTAATTACTATGTCATCATTAATTAATAAACAACCTAATCTATTAACACCTAAACTAATAATAACTATTATCAATAATTTATAATAACAAGAAAAGTTTGAAAATTAGATAGAATTAAAAAAATTGAAAGGGTATTCCATCTATTAAACTTAGATCTTTTCATGATCAAGAAGAAGATAATAAATAATACAGTTATATTGATAAAGATGAAATCACAAAAACCTTATAATAAATTTAATAGTTCTTAAGCCCAATCTTAAAAATTGATGAATATACTGTTTTTAAAAATACTTTATTTGCAATCAAATAAACGTAAAATATTTTTTATGCTAAGTTATTTCATGGATTTTGAATAATTAAAATAAGAACTAGACCAATAAATTATTTATAAATTGAATGAGTTAATGTCTTTTGTGACAATAAATACAAATGATGGAATTCAACATAACAGAAAAGTAAATGTATACTTTTTTCTTTTAGATAATAAAAGTTTAAAGAAGAAAGAAGAATAATTGATTATCTATATACATAAAATTTACCTAAAAAATTAATGCATAGTTAGATTATATCATTTTTGTTATTAAGAAATCTATTAAAATTTAATGCTCAATTTTTAACTTATTAATCTGTATAGAAAATATTAATATAATTTTTAATTTGATATAAAAGCCATCATATCCTTTTTTACCAATTAATTAGGAAATTTTTACTGTGAAAATTTTTAAATTAATAGTAAAATAGTTTTTTCTAATGAAATATGTGAGTTGATATATTTTTTATTTATATAATATGATAGTAATTTAATTTATATTCAATAAATGTTATTCTTAAGTATAAAGCAAGTTATCTATTATAAAATATTTAATACTTTAAAATTATCCATAATGATGAAATAAGGTTTATTTTTATAGTGGTTTTTGCAAAATACTACAATTTAATCACAAAGAACAATTCCATAAATCTATCTTATGGGCAGTCTTAGGATAGCTTTCATTGTTTTTTTTTTTTATTCTTTGGATGATTTGTTTTTACGTTTTCTTTCAAATTAGGATACAATATGTGCAATATGAAAAATACAGTTCTAAGTAAATAATATACATTAATAATCAATGTTTGAATTCCATCTTGTAATTTATATGTCTAATTTTCTTAATTTTATAATTGATATGTTATATTAAGTTCTTCATATATTATTTTAAGTTTTCTTTATAATCAATTGTTATTCCTATATATTTAAATATAATCAGAAGAAGGTTCATTCCAAGATATTTCATTTTATATTTGATTGGCATTTTACCAGGCTTTTTGTTGTTAAGCAATTCCCATTCTTGAGAAAGCTAATTCAACACTTACACAAAGCCTTGAATATAAAAAATAAACCAAAAAATAGGTGATTTATAATTCAACTATAAAAGGAGAAATTATAATAATCTTATAAAACTTAAAAATTGTTATACAAAAAAATATAAATTGTTTATTAATAATTGATATTTATGATGGCTTGGATAGCTTTGAGAATAATTTAGAAAATTTATATAAAACTAGGAAAATTTTATGTTATATTTTGAAACAAAAATGCAGGTTTTAGCTTTAAATGATTTTTAAAGTAATGAATTTATAATGATCTTATTGATTTTACTATGAATTAAATTCAATCTTTACTCAAATAATTATGAAATTATTTTAACCATTATAATCATATTAGTCGCTAACTTTCCATTCTTCATCTACAATAAATTTGAATTCATATTTACCCAAGGGTAATTATACATCAATTTCAAATCTTTAAAATTAAACTAAATTTACTTATTATCAATTTATAATAATTCGATCTTATCTGTCCAATTTAACCAGCTGCCTGTTAAAAATACTTTACTACCTCCTTAAACCCTAAAATAATAAGACATACACTACCATATAAATTTAAAATTATTATTAATTATTTACTCTTAAGGTTAAAGTTAACTTTAGTTTTAAGTCTATTCTTACATACTAGTTTCTTCATGATATTATTATGCTGTCACTTTTTCAGCTTCTTATTCTTATCTAATTCTCTCTTCTTCTTACTATTGTAATCTCAATTTTTCAGCTTCTTATTCTTATCTAATTCTCTCTTCTTCTTACTATTATAATCTCACTTTTTCAGCTTCTTATTCTTATCTAATTCTCTCTTCTTCTTATTATTATAATCTCAATTTTTCAGCTTCTTATTCTTATCTAATTCTCTCTTCTTCTTATTATTATAATCTCAATTTTTCAGCCTCTTATTCTTATCTAATTCTCTCTTCTTCTTATTATTATAATCTCAATTTTTCAGCCTCTTATTCTTATCTAATTCTCTCTTCTTCTTATTATTATAATCTCAATTTTTCAGCCTCTTATTCTTATCTAATTCTCTCTTCTTCTTATTATTATAATCTCAATTTTTCAGCCTCTTATTCTTATCTAATTCTCTCTTCTTCTTATTATTATAATCTCAATTTTTCAGCCTCTTATTCTTATCTAATTCTCTCTTCTTCTTATTATTATAATCTCAATTTTTCAGCCTCTTATTCTTATCTAATTCTCTCTTCTTCTTATTATTATAATCTCAATTTTTCAGCCTCTTATTCTTATCTAATTCTCTCTTCTTCTTATTATTATAATCTCAATTTTTCAGCCTCTTATTCTTATCTAATTCTCTCTTCTTCTTATTATTATAATCTCAATTTTTCAGCCTCTTATTCTTATCTAATTCTCTCTTCTTCTTATTATTATAATCTCAATTTTTCAGCCTCTTATTCTTATCTAATTCTCTCTTCTTCTTATTATTATAATCTCAATTTTTCAGCCTCTTATTCTTATCTAATTCTCTCTTCTTCTTATTATTATAATCTCAATTTTTCAGCCTCTTATTCTTATCTAATTCTCTCTTCTTCTTATTATTATAATCTCAATTTTTCAGCCTCTTATTCTTATCTAATTCTCTCTTCTTCTTATTATTATAATCTCAATTTTTCAGCCTCTTATTCTTATCTAATTCTCTCTTCTTCTTATTATTATAATCTCAATTTTTCAGCCTCTTATTCTTATCTAATTCTCTCTTCTTCTTATTATTATAATCTCAATTTTTCAGCCTCTTATTCTTATCTAATTCTCTCTTCTTCTTATTATTATAATCTCAATTTTTCAGCCTCTTATTCTTATCTAATTCTCTCTTCTTCTTATTATTATAATCTCAATTTTTCAGCCTCTTATTCTTATCTAATTCTCTCTTCTTCTTATTATTATAATCTCAATTTTTCAGCCTCTTATTCTTATCTAATTCTTTCTTCTTCTTATTATTATAATCTTAATTTTTCAGCTTCTTATTCTTGTCTAATTCTTTCTTCCTCTTTCTTTTATAATCTTACTCTTTCAGCCTCTTATTCTCGTCTAATTCTTTCTTCCTCTATTTTTTATAATCTTAATCTTTCAGCCTCTTATTCTTATCTAATTCTTTCTTCCTCTATTTTTTATAATCTTAATCTTTCAGCCTCTTATTCCTATCTAATTCTTTCATTCTCTATTTATTTTAATCTCATTTTTTCATTTTCTTATTCGATTTAAATTTATCTTTATCTTTCATTCTCTTTCTCTATTCTTGTTCTTTCTTATTCTTATTAAAGTTGTCTTTTTCGTTCGTTTTCTTATTCTATTCTTATTTCCTACTCCTTTTACTATTTTAATAATTCTGCCTCTTATTCTTTTCTATTTATCTAATCCTATTCTTAGTTCTCTCTTTATTTTTAAAACTTTTATTAATTTCTATTTCTTACTTCTTCAATATACACTCTCTATACATCATTTTCTTTTGGCTTGTTTAGAAGATTTTATGATAATGATGGTTGTCCCATATTCAAAACAGCATCATCATATTACTAAAACTAGTGTAATTCTTACTTATTATTTAATCTTTGATAATTCTGCTTTAGCTAATTCTCCTTGTTTAATAAGCTTTTGAGTGTCCTTATCTAGATCATTAAGAATTTGAATTGTAGCTTAGTTATTTCCTTATGAAAACTAGTCTTATTTATTATCAACATTCAAAATCAAAGCTTCTTGAAATACATAATATAGATACCAGAGCTATTGTCATCTAAAATATGGTAATTGTACATACCTTATGATTCAATTTTTATTTTTTTTTCCAATTCATCCAAAGTAGCAGGGGTATAGGTGATATGATTTTCATCAGCAATATTGTACTTTTTTTAAAAAAATAAGATACCTAGGGCTATTAGGATTTTTCTTTCTTTCTAAGACACAAATTACCCATTTAAATAAAAATTATATTAATATTATGAATTCATTAGAAAGTTGATTTATGAATCTATTTTAGAATTTAGATGATAAAAAAGTTCGATTTGGGTAAATTGATGAACAATAAAGTGTATTATTAATTGTAATTAACTAAATTTCATTTTTAGTATAGATAGTATAATTTTGAGTAAAAAATTAACTTTCTATTTTTTGATTTTAATTTCTATATATTTGAAATAATTTTATTAATAATTGAATTTGAATTTCAAAATGAACTCAAAATAGTTTAAATTTTAAAAGGAAGTAGAAAATCCTAACAAGGAGAACGAAGGAAGTTATGAGGGAAATCGAATTAATAAAAAAAGAATTAGTTATCTCCCTCTAACAGATATTACAGATATATTATATCCTAAGAGAAGAGAATGGGAAGTATCATCTCTTGAATAGAATCAATTAAAGCTCTCTCTAACTATTCAATTGAGATGATAACAATGAATTAATACCTTTAATCAATATAAATATCTTCCTTTAACTAATTATATTTTTTTATACTGCGATGAAGATTCAATCATTATAATCAACATCTGGTAATAATTCTCTGATGATCATATCACTAACTCTGAAATCCATTTCCTTAGCATTTGCTAATTCTGCTTCTTCATAATTAGTAAATTTTTCCTTAAATAACTTTTTCATATTATCTAATAAATTCAATTTATTGACATTTATCAATCTATAATGGATTTCCCTTATATTGATCACATGAGCAACTTTATCAAGAGTTACACCAGATCTAAAATATATGATAAAGAATACGGAACACCATTAGGCCATTATGATGGTAAATCAGTAAATTCTTTACCATGAGGAGGGGCATCAGCTACATGGAAGATATATCTTAATGAAGGTGTGTGACTGGCATCTCTCCATTCAATCTTTTTTGCTGCATCATACAATCCATCCAAAACAGCCTCAGGTTGATCTCCTCCACCACAAGCATCTTGTTAATCTATAAATTTAAGTATTTCTTCTTCTCCACACAATTCTTAAATTTTAGTTATATAAGATGTGTCTTCAGGAGGATGATCTCTATAGCATACAAATCCAAATTTAACACTAATGTCTTCATTTTAAGCTTTAGTTTTGATGTTTTTAATAATTTCTTTTACAGTATTCTATATAATTAAATAAAGATTTACTTTTGTTTAATTTAAATATTGAGACATAGATGAAGTAGTATCTACACAAAAAACAACATCAACAATACCAGCTGCAGCTTTGCTTTCTGTTCTTCTTGGGATCTTTGCAGAATCTGTTTATTTTTATTCTTATTATTCTTATTATTATTCTTTTTTTCCACTTTTTCCTTTTTTATCACTTTTCTTTTCTGATTTCTCAACAGCCTTTTTCTCACTTTTATCATTTGCTTTCTTATCTGATTTTTCTACTTCTTTTTTCTCAGATTTATCTGTAACTTTTTTTTCACTTTTATCATTATTTTTCTTTTCAGATTTTTCTTCTACCTTTTTTTCGCTTTTATTCACTTCCTTTTCATTTTTCTTTTAAGAGACCTTTGGTTTCTTATCATCTTTGGCAGCAGTTGCTTTAACAGGAGTTTTTTTTGGTGTACTTTTTTTAACAGGACTTTTTTTTGGAGTACTTTTTTTTTTACTTATTACTTTTTTTTATACCGGTTGAACTTTCTATTTAGTTTCTGTAGGTTTTTTTATATCCTAGACTTCTGGTTATTTTTTTTATTTAGTATTATCTTTTATTGGTTATTTTTCTTCTTTTTAATTTGAATTCTTTTTAGGCGCACTCTTTTCTTTTTCATTAACTACATTTTTTTATTTTGTTTCTTAGGTCTACTTGGTAATCTTCTTTTGTATTACACCTAAGTGATAAAGAAGATATTTACCATTGCTTTTACTTCTAGTCTAACCCAATTTTTCGTGTACAATATTTTCATTGTCTTTTATTAAAGCTGATATTGTTCTTGTTCTTCTAACAGGAGCCTTTTTAGTCTCTTATTTCTTTGGGGCAGCTTTCTTTACCATTATATATTTAAATAAAATTTATAATTATTAATAATTTCTCAATCTTCCAGAGAGTATTAAAAAGTATCTAAATAAAATTAATTATATTTTTAATTCATACACTCTATTATTTTATTTCTATATCACATAAATTAAAATTTACATCATATAATATTAAGATTTCTCTATTAAAACATCTTGTTAATAATACTTTATAATTAAAATTTCATCATATTATAAAATTTATTATAAAATATAATATATATCTTTCTTTTCAAAATCTGAAATTAAAATCTAAATGTAATCTATATATCATTGTAGGATAATTATAAAAAGAATTTTCAATTAAATACTTTAAATTGAAATTTTTTAGATGAGTTAATTTAGAAATTTGATGAATAAATACTCAATTTTTTAATGTTCTTGAAAACACAAGTTGTAATGAACTAGTGATTTATTCCTTAAATACATTTGAGAATTAGAGAAATTAAAAAATATATCACTAGATTAGAGTATTACAAATGGTGAAGAAATCATTATTATTTATAAAAATAATGAATAATTTTTAATAATTCATTTAAAGTTATGAGAAATTATATGTTTAAAAAACCATTGCTTTTATTTAATAATAAAAATGAGTATCAAGTATCTTAGCATGATTATTTAATTGATTTAGTATGTGAGAATGAGTTTTCAATATTATTTATACATTGAACTTGGAATGAAAGATATAAATATTTTAGAGAATATTCATTATTTATTTATTCATCAAAAACAGCAAAAAGTATCTGATTTAAGATTTGATTTAATAAGTTATTTTATTTATGGATTTGTAGTTTATTAAATGGCAGCTTTCAACTCTTTATTTGAATAGTTAGATTTTTCAAGTAACAATTAAACACATTAAAAATGATTCCATCTAATTGAGACTTCTAAAGGAGATTCATAAAAGTTATCGTAAACTTTGCTTTTTATAGAAGGATTAGCTTGTTAATCTAATAAGAATTTAATAACAGCAAGATTTCCATTTTTGCAAGAAATGTACAAAGAGTTCTATCCAAATTTATTGAAAGAATTAAGTATATGTTTTGGATCTGTTGGACAATACAAATGTCTAAATAAAAAAATAATTTACTTTTTAGGATAGATTTATAATAATTTAATCATATTTTGAATATCTTTTTATGATCCTTATTCAGAATAATAAATGAATCTATCAACTAATTTCAAGTTTGATAAGATTTCATTGACATTTTCACTATCCCTAGAAGAAGGATCAGGATGTATTTTTGACACATTTGTATTAGTGGATGGTTTAATAATTGTTTCTTTTAATTAATCCTAATATAATTATCTAGTTAATATACTATGTTTGAAATACGTTCAACTAAATTCTGTTATAACCTTCTTATACTTAATAGTAAATTTCCAAAGGCTTTGAATTTATTTTTTTTAGGTGAATCATCTGTATTCATCTTAGTTGGTGAATCAATAATAGTGTTAGTTTAAATTAGTTAATCATCTTTAATGTACTAAAAGTCTTATTACCCTTTCTTATTGATATCAATACTAATTTAAGTTTATTTCATCTATTGTTAGGATTAATTGAATAATTCTTACTTGAGAATTGACAAACTCACTTTGGAAATCTTGACTTAATTTATTATGACTAGAAAGTTATTGTGAATTCTTTAGTTCTTGAATTCTGTCTTCAGAAAAGCTTAACTTACGATTGGAGGGGCTGTAGTCTTCTAAAAATTACTAGAAATTTTAGTAAAAATATGCACTTGAATGTTGTTGAATGCTACTTATGATTGTGGAGATGAATTCTACTTCTTATCTGATTAATTTGGGATTATATATTTTGAGTAAATGCTATCCATTGTATTTAATTATTTATATATATTTATACTTCAAGTTTATCCTCATTTGCTTACCAAAGAAACCAATTATTTTAACTTTGTATTTGTGGACTCTGCTTCTATTAATGATTTGTTTAAATTCTTATATATAATACATGTTTTATACATTGGAAGTCTGAAGTAAATTCTACTCCATTTTTGAGTAATCATTAATTATCTAATCTAATAATTTATTGTCAAAGAATTGAATAGTTTTTTCAATATTACTTTATCCAAATTTAACCATTCTAATACATTAAGCTTCTAATTCAGACATTAATTATAAATTATATTTAAATTAATCATTAATAATCATCTCTTTCATCTTAGGGTTGCACACTTCTTCTATCTCCCCTTAATAAAGGAATTTATTTAGATAGTTAATTTTATTAATTTTTTGTTGGTTATTTAGTATTAAGTTCAGTCCATGCATTTTATCCAAAAGCCTTTAATACAAAAGAAACTGACTCTTCCATTATTTTTGTTGGTCTTTTGGAATTATGAGTTCCATCAAAACTAAACAATTCTTTATTTTTTCCACGAAATTATTTCATTAGCAATTTAGGATGACTTTCTCTTATCAATTCATCCTATTAAGCAGACAAAAATAATATTTGAACATCCTAAGGTAATACTTATAATTATTTAATTATTACCTTGTATTATTTATACTATATTCAATTCATCAATATTAAATTTAACTTCTTAATGAATTTTAGATTTTACATAACACCAAAAACAATTAAAACAACAATTTGGAATTTTGTAATTCACTTTTGCTAATTCTTAGCATAATAAAGTTAAATTTGAGAATGGGCTATCACAAACTAAAACTTTAATATCATTATTATTATGAGCTGCTAAGATGGCTGTCACAGAACCCATTGATCGACCCCATAATCCAATAGATGTAATATCACTCTATGTAACTTATATTCTATTAAATGATTACTTTGTTTTCTCTTAAGTAATCATATAAACATATGACATCATTAGACTCATGAAAGCCCAAGGATATATATTCTCCTTCCGATAATCCAGAACCTTATTTACTTAATTCAAAATACCAGACAAATCAATACCACAAACTGAAATGTTTGCTGGAATTAAATATTCAATAATTGTAAATGATTCAATTCTACTGCTTGAATTACCATGCAGATATATCATACAAGGATGAGGATTTCCTTACATTCTTAAAGGCTCAAACAAACTTATTATAGTTTGAATCTCACCTACATTATAATTTCTAATTTCTATTATTATGTATTTCAAAATCTGTTCTTTTTGCTATTGTTTCTTTAACTTTAAAGAGTTCATTCCCAAGATCTTTAAGATGATAACAATGTCTTGGAGGTCTAACAATAGGTTTCCATAATTTTTCATTCCATTTGTATTCTTGTTGTTTCATATAAGTTTAAAATAAATAATATTTTGATTTATTATAATATTAATGAATTTACCCTAAGTATTCAATGTATTTACAGATAATAACTAATTCGAAAAATTTATTGAAGATCTAGTGGCTGATTGTGTTCATGGAATTAAACTACCATATTTGAATTAATTCCCTGAAATTAATCACTACAATCTAATTGTGGAAGCTCAATAATTTATGCAACAATTTAGTGAATATTTGTTAGAAATGAATAATTAAAATAGAGAAGAAGTATAAATAATTATTAATTTGTAATTAGGTGTAAAGACTATTAGAAAAGTTAAAATCATAAATAGACCCAGAAAAACATTAGATCTTCACAAGGATAATAACTGAGAACTTTAAAGGTATGTGTAAACAAGCATTATATACACATATAGCATTATCAAAATATGTTTTAATTGATTATAATTGGAATTTGAATGTACATTCCATAAATTCTATATAGTTAACAATATCATCCAATAAAATAGCTAAGTCACAAATTCCTACAATAATTGTAGAATTGCATTTATAAACCTTAGATAATATAGCTAATAAAAAAAAGATTAGATTTGAAATGACAAAGGAAGAGCTTGAATAGTTTGTAGGTAAATTATAAAAAGTTATGAATTAATTATAATTATAATATAAATGATTTCATTAACACCTGGTTCTATTAATATAATAACCCTTTTCAACCTATGATTTTCTATAATTTCTAAACTTAGGTTTTTGTTTTTAAGCAAACATCTAATTTTACAGAATCAGTCAAATTTAAACGAGGAAATGCTCCAAAGATAATTTACTTTATTTTTTTGATCATATATAGTACAATATTTCTTAAATATTCTATTATTCCTTAGCTTGTATAAATTTTTTTTTTTCCCTTTTACTTTCCTTATCTGCTACCTATCGAATGGGTTTCCATCCTTTTCTAATATCATTTCTTCATCTTATTCCTTTCCTTTCTATTCTTTAAACTATTTTGATTGTTGAATTCTTGAAGAATTAGTTAATTCTTTGATTTAGGATATCAAGTTGATTGTACTTTAGTGTTTTTAATTTTCAACAGGATATTCATCTACTTCATCATAATTGAAAAATGATAATTTGATATCTAGTTAACAAATTAATTATTCTGAGACTTTAGTAATAATAATATCTATAATAGATTTTAATTTATATAATAATTAAGGTAATTAATATTATGAAATATTAATTATCCAATTCATCTTCTTTATTACTTTCTTTTTTTTCATTCCTTTAAATATATAATAATACATAAGAAATTGCACAATTTTACAATCTATAAAATATTAAACTTGTAGAATTATAAATCATTAGAAATTAATAACTGTTTAATGGAGCTATTGATGATCAAATTAGAGATAAAGTTGATAAAAATAATAAAATAGAATAATTAAGATTATCTTATATAATATAAATATATAATTATTTATAATGGCTGATTGAATATTAAATAAGTAAACTTAAACTTTAAAGAGAATTAAAAATAGATCTCTTATTTAGAATAAATAATTATACTTATATAAATTATATCCAAAATATATGTTAATATATTCTAACAATTTATATTAATGAATAGAACTACTAATGTACTTTCCTATAATGGAATTATCGATTTGATTATCATTTCTAACTATATAAAATCAATAATATAAATGAAGAATGGTGTAATCTTAAATCTTCAAATTTTAATGAGATGAATATATATATATATAAAATTACTTTCATGATTTTATTTATAATTCTTATATCACTAGAAATTAAAGACATAGCTTTTGCCTTATTTGAATAGCAATATGATTAACTGTATTCCAGATGCATATTATTTATCTTAAATATAAGTATAGTCTTATATTAACATTAGTTTGTTTAATTTATCAGAAAAAATCTAAAAAACAACTATGCTTTTTGGTTATAATACATTTTGTTTAAAACTGTATTTATTTTGGATTTCATTAGTTATGGTATCTCTATCCTTTGACAAGCAATTTTAAACATAACAATTAAACAAAGTTTTTTATATTTTTATTATACCTATTTACTGGGGCTTTAGATTTGGCAAACCCTAACTCCTTATTTACTCAAACTGAGTTAAACTCGAAATTAACAATTTTACTCATAATTTTATTCGAATTTTATAACCTTCTTATATCAACTAAAATTGGGCACAAGGCAAGACAACTTATACTTGATATACTAATAGAAGATTGTGTGATTAAAATTTATGATAGTTAATTAAATGATCTAACTCCAAATCTACTCTCCAAATCATAAAATATTGATAATTTTTCATCTCCAACCATTTATACTACAAGACAATCAAAAAGTAATGATAATTTTACAAATAACTAATCTTAAAATAAATAGATTAATTTCAAAACATATAAATTTTATGACAATATTAGTCTATCAGCTGATTCTTTGTAATCTTCCACTTAAAAAGATTAAACATACAATAATATCAAGGATTTAATTAAATAATATTTAAATGATACTAAAATTAGTGAATAATTAATTATAGCCAATGAATATGATTATAAAACTGGTTAGAAAATCAAATACAAACTAATTATTTCATAAAGTATTTCTAATTATATTATTGTTGCTTTCATTAAACTAGATTAAGTCTATTTAATTAAACAATAAAATAAATTAATTTAGTTTAAATAATAATTAGCATCAATCTTTACTAATAAATTAAAAACACCTTTAAATGCAACATTTGGTTATTTAAATTAATCAATAAATGATATATCAGTATCTGATTAATTTAAATAATTATACTTAATACCTGCTATGTTAAATTCTAAACTTTAGTTATATCAAATACAAGATCTTTTAGATTATCTTTACTAAGATTCTACATAATTGACATTATAAGTTACAAAAACTAATTTGGTAAAATTATTATTAAGTGTAAATGAATTGTTAGAGTAGTAATGTAAAACTAAATAAATATAATTATAATATCATATCAATAATTTAGATATCAAATATTAAAAATCAATATATATTAATACAGATTCACAAAAATTAGAAAGAATACTAATTAATTTACTTAATAATAGTTATAGATACTCTCCATCAAATAATACAATAAAAATAGATATCTAGATTGATGAGTAAGAATCAAAAGCATTTTTTAGAGTATCTGATAATGGTGAAGGATTTACATAAGATTAAATCAAGTTTATAAATTAGTAAGCTCTTTTATAAAATAAATTTTAATTAGTACAAAATCATCATTAAGATAAATATCATCATTTTAAAATCCATATAAAATTTGGAATATCTTTACAAATAACAAATCATTTAATTTCTGCTTTAAGTGATTAACATTCAAGTTTACAATTAAACAATTGTTAACAAGGAGCTGCTTTTGAATTTTTTATTAGTACTAAAATGTAGAACCAATTTTTAAGTTCATAGAAAATAATTTAGAATTCAAAACCTATTAAATCTACTAAAGGCTTATAACATATTGAATAAGATAATGGTTCAATTTACAGTCATTCAAGTTCATTAATAATTGAACCATCACCTTAATTACCATTAAATTAGAAAAAAAATGAATTATAATAATTTAAGAGTAGACACTCTCATAGATAATCAAGTATATAACTTACAAAAAGGGCAGAAGAAAATCAATTTCATTTATTGAAAAAAGGAACCTTATGTGAATCTATTGATTTTGAAAATGAATAAGAAATATTGATAGTTGATGATGAACCTTTCAATCATGATATATTATGTTTGATGCTTAAGAGATTAGGACTTAATAAGTTTGTAAAAGCTTATAATGGTCAATAATGTTTAGATATAGTTATGAAAAAGAAATCAAGAATTCAATTAATATTTATGGATTTAGATATGCCAATTTTAGGAGGACTTTAAGTACATTCATATTTAATTTTAGACAACAGAAATCTTAATAGATATGATGTAATAAAAGAAATTAGATTATATAAATATAATTGGATGTACTGCACATGATGATTATGATACTTAATTAAAGTGTATTAATGCTGGAATGAAACATGTTATTAGCAAACCCATCTTCTTAAAATAAGTAAAGGAACTATTTTAGAAATTAAGTGACGAATTGCTAATCAAAAATTTATTCATAAGCTAATCTATTGAAAAACACATCTGATACATCTATTGAATTATTATGTTAAATTTTGTGTTTATTATTTTTGCAATATTGAGATTCTCAATTGAATAAATTAACATTTTTTAATTGTTCAATTAATTTCTATTAATAAAAAATGATTAATTAGTTTATACTTTAAATAATTTATAGTGATTTGATTTTATATATTACAATTATATCCTCTTTTTGTAATTAATAGTCAAAATATGTGTATTTATAACAATAATAATAATTCTTTTATTTCTCATATCTATATTTATAGTTTGAATATAAACTCTCCTATTTGATAAAATTAAAAATTCTAAATAGATAAATTAGTATCATGAAATATTATATAGTTCTTGATTACTATAAAAAAATGAAACTTTAATATTGAAAACTTAAAATGGCTTAGCATACAGATTTTTATAAAAAAATAAAAAAACTTTTTTGATTAAAAAAGATTGCCGTATAAAAGACAGCTTATTTTAAGTATTAAAATTTGTCATATTATATAACCCTTCCTTATTAATCTTATGTGATTGCACTATATTATTATTGAAGATAATTAAAACATAATGTAATATGTTAAAATTTAAAGAAATTGAATACTAATTATAGATATCTTTTTTTTTTATATTATAAAAATCTCATTAAATTCTATCAAAATAATTTAGTTAGAAAATAAGTTAAATAGAATTTGATTAAATTTAAGGAAGTCAAGAATAATTAACTTAGTTAAATAAAGATTTAAAATATATTATAAAATCCTAGTAATTTATATGTTTTTATAAACTTGATTAAAAATTAATTAATTAATAGAAATAGCGCGATGCATGAATAGATAGTCTATATTGAGGACTTTGCTATCGATACCTCTAATTTATTAGGTTAAGGAGCATGTGGCAAAGTCTTTGCTGCATCCAGAAAAAATGATAATAGATAATTTTGTGCCAAAGTATAATAATAATAATATTAATTTTTAGATTGTGCCTGCAAATTCAACAAATGTTTAAAAAGAATTAGATATTTTGAATTTTATGAAAGACAAGCAAAATGAGAATATTGTAAATGTGTTCTACAGTAATTTCGTTCCCGAGAGAAAATTTTTTGTTATTATTATGGAAAAATGTGAGTCAGACTTAGAAAAAGAAATTAAAGCTAGACTACAATAATCACTTAGGTATACAGAACAAGAAGCTTTTGAAATAATGAGGCAATTGTTCAATGGATATAGAGTACTTTATTAAAGTCAGGTTATCCATAGAGATATTAAACCTGCCAATATTTTGACAGCGTAAGGAAAATATAAGGTAATTATTATGGATATTCTTAGATTGCTGATTTTGGAGTAGGTAAGATTTATTCAGGAGATTCGAATTTATTAAACATCACAAAAAATGGTACACCAGTATATAAAGCACCAGAATTATAACCCAACTATGAATATTCTCCAAGTATGATTTAAGTTTAACTTTAATTTAGCTGACATGATGTATATTCAAGGAAATCAACCAAGATTTTCAACAAATACAGTTTCAAATTTGAATTTACAATAAGTAATAATATTAATAATGTAGACAACTCCATTTAAAGGTACATTTGATGACAAAGATAAAAAATAAAAGCTAATGCACAAAGTCGATATTTATTCAGTATATATCTTACATAAATATTTAAGTTTGGGATTCTATATTATCATCTTTTAACAGGTTAATATCCTTTTGAATTATCAATTGCTGGAATCATGAATTTTACTTAAAGATTAAAAACTATGCCGTTTAAAATACCTCCATAATTTAATTTAAGTCCAAATACTTGTTAATTGGTGGAAAGAATGATTACTTATTCTCCAGTTGAAAGAATTGATTTCCCAGCACTTAGTCAATGGTTTGGTCTAAGACTTGGAACTATGTACAATAGAGATAATGCTATAATGCTTCCTGTAACACCAGTTCCTATTGCATTTACTGCTTCAAAAATCGTAATGATTTTACCTTAAAAATCTGTCTAAGATTGGTTGAAATAATATAGAACTTTGTTTGTAGAAAAATGGTATTATAAATAATATTATTATAATAGTTGTGAAAATAATCAAATCATTCCAATATATAGAAATTATTGTGATTTATGTTTGAATTTGGCTATTTTGTAATTTGACTAACTAATAAATATAGATTAAATAAATGATTATATAGCAAAGTATTAATAAGCAAATAAATGTGATATTTAATTTAAAATAGAAGCTAAATTGGATAAAACATATTATATTTATGAATATTGTAGAATTCTATAAAGCTAATTTATACCTAAATTTTTTGATTATGAATAAATTAAAACTTATGGAGAATAACATTTAAAGTTTATGTTTATTTCTCATAAATTAACCAAAGGACATTATCAAATTTAAGAATTATTAGGAACATAAATACCAAATTATAATGGATTTAAAGAGCTAATCTCAAAAGATAATGGTTTAACTAAAGAATAATACAAATAATATTTAGATGAATAATTTTGAAGTATAAATGTCATAAAATAATTATAAATGTAATTATCATTCTTATTATTATTACTCTTATGAAATCTATTCTTATTATTAGCTGACATCTTATTATAAATTTTAACCAAAGTTTTATTCATTTATAGGTTCTTAATAAATAATTTATAATATTACTTCTTGGATTAAAATTAAAATAGAAATTCAATTCAATTTAATTGATTTTTTGTAAATTTGTTTAACAAAATATTTCCCATTATTAATTATTTTACATTGCTGTTAAAATTACAGGATTATTTTATTAATTAATCATATAATTAGCTAATTTACTTAAAAATCCTTTAAATCCTATAATTGTTTATGTTTAATTAAATAAGTTTATAATGAAATTTAATAAAGGATCAATTATCTATATAAAAATAATTAGATTAAATTTACTTATAGGATTTAATCTATTTGATGATTTTCAATAAGTTTTTCAAATATTAAAAAAGAAGTGTAATGAAGCTGATTGTGAAAAGGAAATTCACATATTGTATTGATAAGTATATTAACAAGTCCATTATCTATTAATTTAGAATTAATTGATTAATTATTTAATCTAAATTTTAATTATATTATTATTACTCTATTAATTATAAAGTAAGATTTAATAATCTTACATTTTTTCTGCCAAAGAGTTTATTATAATATCTATCATAATAATTATAATTTTAATAGGTTTTCTAAAATTCTAAAGGTATTAAATGTGATATATCTATAAATGAATCTATTTAATCTTATTAGTAATTTTTAAAATACTCTAAAAGTAGATTCAATATATGATATGGTCCTTCTGAATTTGATTAAATTGCTATTTAAAATAATTTACTTGGTTATAACATTATAATTTATGATATTTCTAAATTTTGATTTTATTATTTTCTTGTGAGTATTTCTATAAATATATCAGAAATATTATCAACAATTATATTTTAATATGATTTCTTTATCATAATTTTAAATAATCGATCTGAAAATTATTGAGCTAGATGAGAATAATCTAAAATATTAGATGGTTGATTGCCAAATATAATTAATTCTGTGATGATCTTACAAATATGATGTTAATCAACATGTTTAAGAAAAGATGACATTATTCTCTAATCATTTTCTATAAAGTTCCAAACATCAGCACCTCTTTTTTAGATAATAGAATTCATCGCTTTATAATAGTATCCACATATAGTTTCTGATATAGTATCTAATTCTACCAAAGTAATTAAATAGCGAAATAATCCCTATTTTATTACTTATTAGTCTTCATTTAAACCTTCGAGATGATCAAATAAGTAATCAATGAATTCTTAATTAGCATTTTCAAATAATTCTGAACATTAAAATAGAAGTCTAATATTTATTATATAAATACTATGGAGTTGGATTTCTATTAAAAATATTACTATTCAAAGTGATTGTGGAAATTAATTCATAATAGATCCATGCTGAATATTCACTAATTTTATATAATATTAGTTACTGAGTGATTATTGAATTACATTTCTAGTATACTGAGAGGTCACTTTGATTGATTGAAGTTACATAATTGATGATAAATTCCTAGATCATTAACTATTAATCTTATGGACTATTTAGATGTATTTATTGAATAATTACTTCTCCATGATATATGTTTGAAATGATAATAATTTATAAATATTCAATTTTTATTGCTTTTCATTTATATTAAACATTAAGAAGTTTAAAGACAAAATAATTCTAACATTTCTAAATCTATTGAGTTAACTTTAGAATCACTACCTCCTATGCCTTTAACATTAACAACTTATAATGCTCCAATAATCTAATTATTATGTTTTAGAGGCATACAAATAATTGGCATACTTGTTTCTATATCAATATTAGGATTGAAAAGAGGATTAATATAACAATTACTTATTGCAATAATTGATTAACTTTATATACAATTACCCATTATACCTAATGAATTATCACATTCATCTAATTTAGCTTCTCTATTAATATGAATTACTTTTTTAATTTAAATATCATTATAAACAATTTTAGCAAAATCTACATTCATAAGTGATCTTAATCTTTCTTCTGCTTATTATATAAATTAATGAAGTTCATATTATTTAGATTATAATAATACTCCAGTTTTAATAAGATGTCTTAATTTATTTTAAATTAACATTTAAGCATCATGATTCATAGCATTTTTAAGTACTGATCTTGAAAATTCACACATTATTTATAATAATGCTTCATCATCTTTTGTAAAATAACCACTTTATTTATTAACACATTATAATACTCCAACACATTTATCATTTTCCATAATTGGACAAACTAATAATGTTTTTGTCTTATAATTATTTTTAATATCTTATTATGAATTAAATCTTTAATCTCTATAAGCATCTTCTATATTTAATATACTTTTTGATTATGCTACAAAACCAGCAATTCCTTATCCTATTTATAAACGTATTGTAGTTGATGTTCCTTTAGCTACTCTAGTCCACAATTCTTTTTTACTTTCATCTACTATAAAACATGATGCTCTATCACATTCTAAACAATCTACACATTTATTTATTATAGTTTATAAAGCATCATCTAATAAAATTGATGAATTCATTTATAAAGCACCCATAACAATTTTTTTTAATCTTAATACTAAAATAAATAATTGATTATGATCTGACATTATTCTTTTAAATTTATCATAAAGAAATGATAATTTTTATGCAGACATATTTTATATTATATCTCCAAATGAATCTTCATTATCTAATAATTCTCTCATTAATGATACAGTTCCATCTTATTTATATTATTACATAGCATCTTCATCAGATAATTATATATTTAAAATTGCATTAGTTCTAAAACAATCTTCTTATTATAATGTATCATAAAATGTAGATGCTTTTTAAGTCTATTTTTCATTTTTTTATTATTCACTTTCTTATTCTAAATGTAATCGTGCCAATGTTGGATTTCTATAGATTCTTCTTTTAACACTAGGACTTTATTATGATGTATCATCTAAAAATTTACTTAAATAATTCTTCTTTTCACTAAGTGTCTTATTATGACCTAATTTTATTGTAATTTTTTTAGAATGAAATTATCTTTCTGATTATAAAATATTTAGTTTTGTTTGATTTGCTTATATTAAATATTCATTTATGCATGATAATCTTTCTATTTCTTTCTATTATAATTTAATCTTATCTTTTAATCTTCTAATTTATTCTAACATTGTTTCATTTTATTGATTAGTTGGACTACATGTACCATCATTTTTTTAAGTTCTTTGATGATATATAGAAGATTCTAAATTCTTATCATTTTTTAGATCCTTATTAAAGAATGATCTTTTAACATGTTCTGTTTAAGTAGTTAATCTAGGACTATTTAATATTTCTAATTTATTCATTATTAAATATTAATAAATATGTTATCATTCAATAGAAACATTACTTTTTTTGCATATTAGTTATCTTGGTATAAATTTATTTNTAATAATGCTTCATCATCTTTTGTAAAATAACCACTTTATTTATTAACACATTATAATACTCCAACACATTTATCATTTTCCATAATTGGACAAACTAATAATGTTTTTGTCTTATAATTATTTTTAATATCTTATTATGAATTAAATCTTTAATCTCTATAAGCATCTTCTATATTTAATATACTTTTTGATTATGCTACAAAACCAGCAATTCCTTATCCTATTTATAAACGTATTGTAGTTGATGTTCCTTTAGCTACTCTAGTCCACAATTCTTTTTTACTTTCATCTACTATAAAACATGATGCTCTATCACATTCTAAACAATCTACACATTTATTTATTATAGTTTATAAAGCATCATCTAATAAAATTGATGAATTCATTTATAAAGCACCCATAACAATTTTTTTTAATCTTAATACTAAAATAAATAATTGATTATGATCTGACATTATTCTTTTAAATTTATCATAAAGAAATGATAATTTTTATGCAGACATATTTTATATTATATCTCCAAATGAATCTTCATTATCTAATAATTCTCTCATTAATGATACAGTTCCATCTTATTTATATTATTACATAGCATCTTCATCAGATAATTATATATTTAAAATTGCATTAGTTCTAAAACAATCTTCTTATTATAATGTATCATAAAATGTAGATGCTTTTTAAGTCTATTTTTCATTTTTTTATTATTCACTTTCTTATTCTAAATGTAATCGTGCCAATGTTGGATTTCTATAGATTCTTCTTTTAACACTAGGACTTTATTATGATGTATCATCTAAAAATTTACTTAAATAATTCTTCTTTTCACTAAGTGTCTTATTATGACCTAATTTTATTGTAATTTTTTTAGAATGAAATTATCTTTCTGATTATAAAATATTTAGTTTTGTTTGATTTGCTTATATTAAATATTCATTTATGCATGATAATCTTTCTATTTCTTTCTATTATAATTTAATCTTATCTTTTAATCTTCTAATTTATTCTAACATTGTTTCATTTTATTGATTAGTTGGACTACATGTACCATCATTTTTTTAAGTTCTTTGATGATATATAGAAGATTCTAAATTCTTATCATTTTTTAGATCCTTATTAAAGAATGATCTTTTAACATGTTCTGTTTAAGTAGTTAATCTAGGACTATTTAATATTTCTAATTTATTCATTATTAAATATTAATAAATATGTTATCATTCAATAGAAACATTACTTTTTTTGCATATTAGTTATCTTGGTATAAATTTATTTCCTTAATTCTTTTGTTAACTTATTTATTAATTTATTTCTTAATCAATCTTTCCATCTTATTTTAAAAAGACATCAGGTATTTTATATTCTTTTGGATTTACTTTTCTTTTTTTAATTATTGAAGGTTCTATTGGTATTATTTTTGTTTATTAAATCTATTATTATTATTATTATTAAGGTTTAATATCTTTTACTATAGGATTATTATTTTATTTATTATCATCTTCACTATCTGAATAATTAACTAGCATTTTGTAAATTAAAAGAATAATTTAAATTTGAATAATAATAATAATAATATTAATGTCATCAGAGTCTGTTTCAATAAGCACTTTGATATAAAAGAATACTCAATAAAATGTAAATTCAATCATTATATAAAGACATAATATAATTGGGTTGGAGTTTTGGAATTCTTACATGAATAGCATAAATAAGTTTAATATAAAGATTGTGAATGGGCATTAGAGAAATCATAAATGTAGTAGAAAATAAATGAATTAGAAGGAGTAGTCAAAGGATAAGAAAGAGTAATAACAGATTTAGGAAAAAGATGTAAAATGTTAGAAGTAGCATTACGTTAAGAAAGATTAAAATATTAATAAAATGGATAAGTTCCTGATTATTTGAATCAATTATTAAAGGAAAACATAGAAAATTAAAGTTAGATATAAAATTATTAAACAATTCCAAAAAGAAAAGCTAAACCTTATAGACCCTTATTATAAAAGTATAAAAATATTAGTTAAACTTAAGAATAATCTAAGAGGTGGGATTGTAATCAATATTTTCACCTCCAAGTTCTCCTAAAATAGAACATTCAAATAGACCATCAGTAATGTTAACACCAAATTAAAATGTGACATCAATTGTTTAAAATTCAGGTAGACAAAGTCCAACTAATATGAATAGTACAAGTGGATTTCCAACTCATAGTAGAAGCAAATCATAAAATATTAATGAAGAATAATCATAAATAGTTTCAAAAGATCCTGTATAATTATAAAATACATTGAGACATCATTTAGATGGTGTAAGAGATGCATATTTTTTTAATAATATGACTATATTAGCAACAGTTTCTGAAGATTGTCAATTAAAATTATGGGATTATCAAAATTATTAATAATAATAAAATTAGATAGAACCATATTTGACATTAAGAGATCATACTGGACCTTTATTTGCAATAGCAGGAATAGAATAAAGATTAAAAGGAATGTAGAATGCAATATTTAGTGCTGGAGCAGAAGGAGCAATAAAAATGTGGTATTTTCCATTGCCAGATGAATGTGATTAATTAGGATAGACAGAAGAATTTTAATAATGTAGAATGACTTGGTAAGCTCATTAAGATGCAATTTGGTAATTAAAAGTTAATTAGTAATAAAATTTATTATTATCTTCTGCAGCTGATTCTCTAATTAAATTATGGCCAATTTAAGATTCATAAATAGAACCTAAATAACTTTATTAATTTGGATAAAAAAATTAATATGGTCATTTTATAGATTCACCAACTGCTATATAATGGTTATAACATAATCCAAATCATTTTGCATCTGGTTTTATGAATTCAGCTATATTATCTATATTTGATATAGAAAATGGAAGAAATATTTAAAATATTAAATATTTATAAGAAAATAATGTATCAGCATAAATAAATTAATTGACATAATTTTAATAATAATGTTTAATATCATCACATGATGATGGAAAATTAAGAATTTTTGATTTACAATAATGTATTAATATATTAATATTTTAGCTAAACTAATATAATAAATAATTTGTGGAAATGAACCAATTACTTCAGCTATTACAAATCTTAGTAATACTATTATATATATTGCAACTGGAAATGTTATTAAGTAAGAATATAAATTTAATTATAATAAGAGTTTGGGATACAAGAAGATAATAATTTATATAAGAACTTTAAGGACATCAATCTAAATATGATGAAAATATTCATAATCTAGTTCATCATAGTAGTTATAATTTATTCGCATCTTTAGGTGCAGATGGATAAATCAAATTATTTTCATCTAAATGATTTATATATAATAGATCATATATATATATTTTTTTATTATTATACCGTTTTTAATGAAATAAGTCATTTTCCTAGTAATGCTTATTACTTTAACTCTACAAACATAATTGTCATCTAAAATTGATGTTGTTATGGCACATATGGATAAAATGACAATAAAAAATGAATTTTCAAAGCAACTTGCTGGATTAATTGAACTTAAAATGTTATAGAGTTCATATGTAGAGGAAGTATTAAAAGAAATCAAAACAATTAGAGATTAATTAATTGCAGATTAAACTATAGAGGATCAAGAATTTGCTAAAGTATACAATATTATTTATATATAATCTAGAAAATTGGATAATTGAATGTAGAAATTGAAATATTAGAAATTTAAACTGAAAAATTAGCTAAAGAATTACAAAGACTTAATCAATAAATTGCAGATTTAAATGAAGATATTAGTAAATTAATTGGTACACAATAATCATAAGAAAAATAATTATCAACTTTGAATTCTAAAGAAGAAGATATTAGAAATCAATATAAATTAGAAATTGAAACTATTTCAGTATATCTCATCAATATTTCTAGTAAAGAACAACAAACAATATCAAATCTATTGATGGATTAAATGAAATGATTGCTAAATTATAATAGGCTGTATTTGCTGAATAAAGTAAAACAACTGTACTTTCATAATAACATACAAAATAATATGTTGATTAATTAGCTAATTCATTAGGACCTAATCATCCTATTACAGCACTTGTCTCTGTTACAACTAAGTATTTAACTATTTATATATATATATTAGATTTGATGTACCAACAGTTACCAGAATTATATAATTATTAGAGAATATTAGAGATTAAAGAATATAAGAAAATGCTGGTGCAAATGATTATGTTGTTAAAGTTACATAATCATATGAAGTTACATTAAAAGAAGTAACTGAAGTTAGAGAAAGACTTAGTGCTGATTATTCAAGAACACTTATTACATTAAAGAGAAGAAATGAAGAAAATGTAATTTATATATTCATTATTAAATTAGACATTATCTACTAAAACTAGAAATCAAATATAAAAGGATTTACCTATTGCATTAGATTTACTCTAATAATATAGAAATGAAAGAGAAATTGTTCAATCAAATTATAATTTAAGATCTTCTAAGAGAGAAAATGAAGTTAAAATTATTACATAAGCTTATACTATAGTAGCCTAATAAGTTAAAGTTTGAATAATATTAAAAATAAAAACACAATTATTTCTAATTTATATTATTTTCTCAAATGGATAGAACCAATATCTCTTAAACTATCTAACCTATGACTATTAGTATGATCAAAAAAGGAATGAAATCTACATTACATACATAATTAGATTATGTTATTAATGAAGGCCATCCTATTAATACTATATTAATTGTAGGCTTTTCTGTTGAATTATTGATTAATAGTGATTTACAAGAATTCTAAGCATTAATTGAAGATAGTACAGGCAATATTTAAGTCATTACACCCTTAACACAATAATATCCATATTGGTTAGATGTAATCAAAATTATTATTAACATAGAAACTAATCTAAGAAAATCCTAAATAACCATCATATGTAAGATGTATCATTATTCCTAAATAATTTAAATAAGAGATTGTATTTTAGTGTGTTTATATGGAATTAATCAAAAATTTTAATGTTATCACATTACATTTGATTGATTGTATTAAAGCATATGAATATCGTAAATCCATTTCCTATTTAACTTAATTAGATAACAATTAAGAATAATAATAATTAATTAAAACTAAATCACTTTAATATCAATCCTCTTCTATTCTCTAATTAATTGAAAAATAACCCTTATCAAAAGATAAAATTTTAGAACTTACTAATATATCAGAATAATTATTTCAATAATGTTTATAATTTCTAGCTGATCAAATATAATTAAATGAAAATGATGAATATTATAAATTATAATAATGAATATATATCAACTATTTTTTAATAATAATTAATATATCATTTTTAATATTATATTAATTCCTATTTATTTTGAATAATGATATATATTAAAAGTCTATTAAATTTAATATAATTTAAAATTGAAATATTTGTTTAACTAAATCATCTTAAAATTTTGATATATATTCATTTATTATTATTAAGATCTTTGACAAATAAATCATGACAGAAATTTAGTGATAAAGAATTAAATAAAGGATTAAAATAATTAATAATTATTTATAAGGATTATATAAGGTGAGTATTTTGCTAAATAAGAAGGAATTAGTATATATTCTAAACAAATAACTAATTCTCATATGTCTGAATTTAAAGTACATGAATTGAATTTCACTTTAAGTTTACGTGTTAAGATATATAGTTTTATTAAGAAATTAAGGTAAATTTATAAAAGTTAGCTATGATAAATCTATAATAATTTTTGAAACATCAGAATTAATAAACATAATCGATCATTTTTGTTTAAGTAAATCAATTTAAATCAAATTAATTATTCATCATCTAATTATAAAAAATTATTATTCAATACTTAAAATAGACTGGATTAAGTTTTAATTAATCTGAAAAAATGGTAATTTTCAATATGTACTTTTTAATATACACTTTTCAAAAATAAATAAAATTTCAAACTAAATGATGATGGAGATTATTTCAATAATATTGGAATGTTTAATTATTAAATTTATATTTATAAATCATTAATATCAAATTCTATATACAAAATATAATCTTTTTTTTTTATATCAATTAAATTTATATTGATATATAATTTAATTAATCTTTGATTTCTAATGTTAATTGATCTATTTATTGTTCTTATTTAAATTAATTGAAATAAGTAGTTAAATATTTAATAAATTTAGTATTATTTTTAACTATCCTTATAAATTTATCAAAACTAAATGCATAAATTCTTCTCTAATTCTTATTGAATTTATTTCCAAATTAAATCATTTATAGAATAATAAATATATTTAAATATGTATAAAATACCATGCTACAAACACGAAGGTTCTTATGTTTAATTCATAAATACAGATAAAGAAAAAACTTAATTCATTTGTGATTAATGCTAATAGGACTTATTTGATTTGAATCCTAACTTTAATTTTTAGAATCTAATAAATCTAAACAGAGTAATTTAGATTATCAATATATAAGGGATTGAAGTCTCCTGAATTTCTCTTTTCAAAATTAGAAGTATCTGGAGATATAAGGAATTTTTTTGGAGAATATTCAAAACATGATGATATTAGTTTAAATAACTAAATAAAACAATTTGAATCCTTGATTACTGAAATTTAAAATGGATTTATAAAGATGATTGATGAATTATAATAGAATATTAAATTATTTTTGGATACAAAATAAATAATTAGATTGGATTTAGAATAAGTATTAATATATAATTAAAAATTTTTAGATAATTAAATTTAATGATTTCAAATAAATAATGAATAAATTAGTGGAATTAGGAGATTCAATTAATCCTAAAGCTATTGAATAAGCAGAAACAGATGTACATTAATATTTTTAGTATATTTCTAAAGATTGTAAATAATTATTAATAGAAAATATATAAGAAAATTATTAAAGGAATAAATAGAAAATAAAAAATGAAGAAACCTTTATGTTTTCTTAATTTAAAAGATTAGAGTCTTTGTTTTAATCTATAATATTTAAACATAATGAATTTACTAAACAATTATAACCAATACCTCCAAAAAGTTATATTTTAAGTGATCAATTCTATGATAGAATAATTAGTTAGATAGAAATAAAATCAAAGAAAAAGATATTAGATTCTAATTTGATTTTTAAAGGTTCTAGAGATGGATTAAATGCTAATTCATTTTGGAAATGTTGTAATTAAAAATCTAATTTGTTGATGATATTTAAGTCATATAATAAATCTATATTTGGAGGATATTCTCCATGTAAATGGGTAGGTGAGTAATATATTACACATATTTCTGATCCAACATATTCAACATTTCTATTTTCTTAAGATAAAAATGAAATTTATGATTAAAAAGATGGATTTCAAAATAGTGCTATTTGTTGCAATATCTAAGGTGGACCTATATTTGGAGCAGGTCATGATCTATATATAGGAAATGATTTTGTTGATGGATATTCAAAATTAGGGAGAACATTTAAAAATCCTTAATTATAATAAAAAAATGTTTGGAGTTTTATGGAAACTTAAGAATAATCAAGTTATTTATTTGGTTAATTAACTCCAAATATTGTAGAATGTTAAATATTTGAAATAACATTTTAATGAGTTTTATAAATGATCAAAATAAATGACATTATCAATCTAATATATCTTATATATATATATATAAAAATATCAACATTATTAGATTATTTAAAATAATGTTGCTTAAATTAATACATTTATAATTATATTTATTCCTATAATATAATTTTTCTATTTTAAATTGAAATGCAAGAACTATTGATTTATAAATCTCATGTGGTATCAAAAGAGAGTAAGAATAATCTCTTCAAAAATAAAGTAAAAATAATAAACTTACATAAATAATCTAATTTAAGAGGAGGTGGATGTGTAGGTTAAAAGTAATCAAATTAGAATCCATTTCTTATGATAAATCATGAATAATATGTATTAGAAACCTTACCAAAAGATTTTTTAGAAAACTTAAGAAGAAGATCAAAAACAATATAACAAATAGCAAAGACAATTAATGAAGAAAATCAAAGAGCAGAATTTTCCATTTGTTATTAATGGTTATATGATTCAAGAGAATAAATTCATTGGATAGGAGAGAAAGATAATTCATCATTATTTTATGATTGCATTTTAGAATGTTTTCTATAACTATTAACATCCTCTATAATTTATGTTAGAACTTCAGGATTATATTGTTACTATATCTTAAAAATATGCTCAGATTTATCCAAAGCAATATTTAATTTTTATAGATAAAACAATGAAAGATTTATGAAAATGGAAGAAAAGAAGAATATCTTAAATACTGTTAAAGAATTAGAATCTCTTGTATAAGTGGAAGCCTATAAACTTTGGTTAAATGGAATTAACTATCATATCTCTATTATAAAAGCTGCTATTTAATTAATACCTGTTGATGGAAATCTCTAATTATTTTAATTATTTGTGAAAGGTTTGATTACATCTGCTGCAACTCTCACACCAAGTGATGATTTAATTAAATTCTTATGTAAAGCTGCAGAAGAAATCTATGATAAATATAAAGAGTATAAAAGTGAAAAGATATATTAAAAATATTATAACTTTGAATGTTTAAAATGGTCAATGATTGCATATTTAAAAAATAATGATTATGGTATAAATAGAGTAGTCAAATAACTTGAAAAATTATATGAAGAATAAATTAAAGATTCTAAAAGTTTTACTCTTCATTTTATATGGATATATTTCCTATCAGATTTATTAATTTTTCGACCAATAATATAAAAATAAGATTGGATCAAATATTAATCAAATTTGTAAAATCATCTCTAAACTTGGGAATAATTTCTTACTTAATACAATTTAAAACCTTTATCTTATAATGTTGATTCTATTAAATTAAATTTAGAATTTACTCTAAATAAATAAGTAAAACCAATATTATAATAATTTGGTTTAAATAATTTTAAATCTCTTACTTTATTATTAATAGAAAAGAATAAAACTTTTAAATTTAATGGATTAGATTACTATGTCAATTTTCATTTCTCAACTCATTAAAATAAACTATTCAATTCTATTGATCCTTTTATTTCAGAAATATATTAATTACTTTTACAAAATAAAGAAAATTAAAACTAAATTATTAGAATTGAATATCTAGAATCTTTAAATTCTTAATTAGAAGAAAACAATTTAAAATTAATAGAAATAATAAATACTATTTAATAATAAAATAATTCTATTGAAATTAATCAAGAATTAAAGGATATCATACATAAAAATGAAGATTTGATATTTCAAACCATAACATACTTTTTGAAGTTAATTAATGTTTAATCTAAATTTAATGGATCATATCATCTTATTAAATTGTAATTAACTTCTTATAGCTCACTTTCTAACCAATAATAAACTGAAAATTTAATTCCATTGAATAATTTTTTTTCTGATTTTGAATCCTCTTTTACAAGTATTTGGATTAAATTAGCAAATTCAATATAATAAGATAAGATCTTTATTGATTCTTTAAATTAAAGAAATAATAGCAATTCTATATATGCATCAGACACTTTATCATAATGTCATATATACTGTAAAATGATAGAAGAATAAATAGAAAATTTTAAATGTTAAAATAAAAGATAAATAAAAGATCAAAATTTAATGTATTCAGAACTTATTAAAATTTAGATATAATTTGAATCACATACTATTCCTCTTTCTAAAATAAATTATAGGTAAATTAATTATGAAGATATATTTTCAATTATAAAATTAATAGAAAATATATAATGGTAATTTTTAATGAATTTAGAAGAAATTAAAAAGGAATTGTAATTAAATCTATCAACTTATAATTTTAAATAAAAAGAAATAGCAATGATACAATTTTCTATAAAACTTACAATATTTTGTAGATAAATTGAATTATTTAATAAATTATTAGATATGTTTAGATAAGAATATATAAGTATTAATAGATTAATATAAAAATAATCTGAGATTTTTGTTATTTAATAAATAGAATCAAGAAGAGAATGTATATTATTAGATAAATACAAATAAAATTTATCTGAATATTTGTAATTTATTATACGTACTTTATAATAATAATCTAATATGATTGATGAAAGAGAGAAATTTGAAAAGAGTAAAACTATTTTAATGTAACATTATCGTTTATAAAGTGAATTAAAATAACAATTATCAAAATTTAATGATAATTTTATTGGAGTTCATTCCTTATCTGAAAAAGCTAATCCATTAAAATCAATTTATTAAATAGTTAAAAATATTGATGTAATAGAATCATTAATTAATTTGGCAGATTAGAATGCATTTAATTCTGAAATTTAAGATGTTCTAATCTTATTATCAACTTTGTAATAAGATCTTGTTAAAATTGATTGTAATTAAATATAGGATTTACAATATAATGAAACTGATATTTAATACAAATAAATACTATCTATATTTAAAAATGATATATAAATATTAGATGAAATCTTAGAGAAAAGTAATATCAATAAAGAACTAATTCATAAGTTAATAACAAAATGTTAAGATATTCAGACATTAATGAATAAATTTTAAGAACTTCAAAAGTATGTAAACAAAAAAGAAATTGATTAAATGAGTTGGTAATAAATAATATATAATTTTAAATAAGAATTAAATAATTTATATATTAGTGAAATAGTTGAATTACTTAGTAAAATTAAAACAAAATCTTTATTTGAATAATTAAATAATTTGAATTATGATATGGAATTATTAAATTCAATATTAAAATATTTGAATGAAGATTTATTTTAAGAAAGTATAGATAATAATTAATCATCTGAATAATTTATAAAAATATTAGTATAAAAATAAATAGAAGAAATCAAAGATTTTATTAATAATTATGAATATCAAATTAGAGAATGTTTGATATTTTAATTGCTTGAAATATAGAATTTATCTGAAGAATCATAAATCTAATCTTATGTAACAGAGCTTCTCTTATAAGTATGGGGAATAGAAAAAGATCAAAGAGTAAGAGCTCTTTTAAAAAATAAAGAAATGATATAGTTATAATAATAATTATTTTCAAAAAATTAAATTACAATAAATGAAAAATTAAGAAAAACATTTTAAAATAAATTAAAATAAATTAATGAATTAGAATAAGAGATTAGATAAGAATTTGATGAAGATAGTAGAAATTAAAAAATATCAACTATGCAATCTGAATATTAATAATTTTAAGAATTTCTTGGTAATATTAATGAAATGCAATAATTGTTAAATATTACATTATATTTTTTAGTAGATATTAAAAAAGATTTAAGTTAAATAATGAATAAATTAGAAAATCTTTAGAATACTATTAATATAATTGGAAGAGATATTTCAATTCTTAAAGGAAAATCTTTTTAATAACTATTTGATTTAAGAAAGTAGACTGTTCTTTTAAATAAAAAGAGAATGGATTTAACAAAAATATTTGTTCCACTTTATGGTAGAGAGAAATCAAATGGTTTAGAATCTAAATTATTACCTATGTTTGATGATGACCATTAAAATAAGATTTCAATAGTCAATAATTTTATATGGTATGATCATTAAGGATAAGAATACAAAGATTAATCAGATGTATTATTAATACATGGTTAAGCAGGATCTGGTAAAAGTACAATAGCAAGAAAAATAGAAGAATTTCTATGGGAATAATAGTAATATCAAAATAATAAAGAACAGAATCTTATACCTATTTTTGTTTAGTTACCAAGTTTAAAAGATCCTTTACATAGTGCTATAGAAGAAACATTATAATCTGAATAATTATCATTTGATAAAATATAAATTAATTAATTAAAAGAAGAAATATAAAAAGGTAAGATATCTCTTATTATAATAATGGATGGATATGATGAATTAAAAACTGAATATTCATAATAGAATTTATATATTTTAAATAGATTAAATGAAATATGGAAGAAACCTAAAGTAATCTATACTTCTAGAACTGAAATTTTGAATTCAAATCTATATCAAACATGGTTTTAAGGTAATGGAAAATTAAAAGAAGTTGAATTATAATCATTTTCATCTTTACAACAAAATTAATACTTTTAAAGTTTTGTTTTTCAATTAGTTAAATAAAAAATCTTAACATTTTATGAATATTCTATATAAATTGAGAAAAAAATCTTTAATTTTGAAGAATTTGAAAAAATATGGTTACCCATAAATGAAATGATTATTTCAAAAAGTATAGAAGGAAAAAACTATTTGAATTTATTTTTAAATAGGAATTAAATTAAATCAATTATTAATTCAATTACATAAAATTCTAAAATAGAAATAAGATAAGATCATCATGAAGAATTATTATAAAATTTGTAAAAAGAATTATCAGAAATTTGGAATGCTAATAGATATATAGAGATTATGGATGCTATTAATATAAGAAGTATTGTATAAATGCCATTTATGCTTGAAATTGTTGCTTAAATATTCCCTAAATTGACATCTGCAACTTCTGACATCAATTAAATTAAAAGTAATTTCATTAAAAATTATGTAAATTTAAAATAATAATAATATTTAATTAAAAAATACTCTTAAAACTTAGATTAAGTATTTGATATTGAAATTGAATAATTATGTGCACTAAATAATTGGAAATAATTAGAAATGAAATCAATATTTTAAAATTATTCTCCATTAAGTTAAATTAAAATTGAAAATCAAATCTTATTAATTAATGAAGAATCATTTGATTTTGGATAAGAAGCATAAATTATTAAATAATCTTTAAAAAATTAAAATTATACACCTTATACTTTCTATTAGGCTTTCATAGATTATTATCATAATTAATAAGTTCAAAAATTAAAAATGATAGGTAAAGCAATTGATTAAGAAATTTTCTTTACAGATCTAATTAATTTTTCATAATCTCTTGCATTAGAATTAACAGAACGTTAATTAACTTAAGCTAATTATATTAAGAAAAGTTATGTAGACTTTTCAAATGATGGAAGAATTCCATAACAGGAATGGATTGATAAATACTTTGGTCAATAAGGTATAGTAGCTGAATAAAAATATCTTCTAAGGAAATGTGCACTTCTTAATCAAAAAGGTAATACTATCTCTTTTATTCATAAATCTATATAAGAATTTTATGTATCTAAATATATCCTTGATTTATTATTTAAATTACCTACCCTAAATCTTGAAGATTTAAATGTTTATATTAATGAAAAATTAAAAAATTAATAAAATAAAAATAAATTCATTAAATTAGATAAAGAGTTTAATAATTTAGGTAAAGAGCATATATAAAAAATGGTTGAATTAATTGTGAAAATAATAAAAGAGAGTAAATTTAATACTCTCAATTTTTCTGAAGAATAATATTAAGGAATGATTCATTTTTTAAAATGTGAAATTAATCAAAACTAAAAATTAAAGTAAGTATTAATGTCAATTGTAAAAATATCATCCTTAGAATCCATCTAACAAGAGGCAGGAAATTCATTATTTATACTTAATTAAATTGGAGATATTTTTAATGATTTAAATTTTGAACATATTTAAATTAAAAATTCTAATCTCAATGGTGCTTCATTTTATAATACAATATTATGTGAATCTAAAATGGATAATGTAAACATTAGTTAATGTAATTTCAACAGAGCTTAATTATAAAACTGTAAATGGATTAACATTAATTCAAATGAACTACCAACACTAAAAGGCCATACTGATTCAGTTTCTTCACTTACATTCTCTTCAGATGGATAAACATTGGCCTCAGCTAGTTCTGATTACACAATTAGAATATGGGATACTAAATCAGGAAAAGAGATTATGAAATTATTAGGTCACACTGGATGGGTTTGGTCAATTGCCTATTCTCCAGATGGATAATTTATCATCTCTGGAAGTAGTGATAATTCAGTGAGACTATGGGATGTTAGTTTTGGATATTAAGTAATGAAATTAGAAGGACATACTGGTTAAGTATACTCTGTATAATTTTCACCTGATGGTTAAATGATTGCTTCTGGAAGTAGTGATACATCTATACGTTTATGGGATCCAAATTCAGGTCATTAAATTAAATAATTGAATGGTCATGAAGGTTGGATTAGGTCAGTCACCTTTTCATAATTAGGACATTTATTGGCATCTGGAAGTTGTGATTAAACTATAAGAATATGGGATTTAAAATAATATTAAGAAATCAGAAAATTAGAAGGACATTCAGATTCTGTTTAATCAGTTGCATTTACTCCAGATAGTCAAATATTAGCATCTGGTAGTATGGATGGATCAATAAGATTATGGGATATTAAAAATGGAATTGAATTATAAAAATTAATGGGTCATAATAATAATTGGATATGGTCTGTAACATTCTCCATTGATGGATAAATATTAGCCTCTGCTAGTAATGACACAATTATTAGAATATGGGATGTAAAATCAGGAAAGAATATTTAAAGATTGGAAGGACATACTGATTGTGTTTATTGTTTAGTTTATTCTCCAGATGGTTCAATTTTAGGATCTGCTAGTAAAGATTAATCAATAAGACTTTGGGATACTAAATCTGGAAGAGAAATGAATATGTTAGAAGGTCATGTTGGATCAATTTGTTCTGTTGCATTTTCTCCAGATGGATTAGTATTTGCTTCTGGAGGTGAAGATTAATCAATTAGAATATGGGATTCAAAATCTGGTAAAGAATTATCAAAATTAGATGGTCATTTTGGATGGGTATAATCAATTGCATTTTGTCCAAAAGGATAATTGATTGCTTCTGGTAGTAGTGATACTTCTGTTAGATTATGGGATTTAGAATCAGGAAAAGAGATATAAAAATTAGATGGACATCTTAGTTGGGTATATTCAATAGCATTTTCAGTTAAAGAAGATTTATTAGCATCTGGTAGTGAAGATCAATCCATAATATTATGGCATATTAAAACAGGAAAATTAATTACTAAATTATTAGGACATACTAATTCTGTATAATCAGTAGCCTTTTCTCGTGATGGTTTAAGATTAGCCTCTGCTAGTAGTGATAATTTAATTAAAATATGGGATACAAAATTAGGATAAGAAATATTGGAATTAAATGAACATAATGATTCAGTGTAATGTGTAATCTATTCTCCAAATGGATAAATATTGGCATCAGCTGGAAGTGATTACATTATATAATTATGGGATGCAATTTCAGGAAAAGATATAATTAAGCTTGAAGGTCATACAGATGCAGTATAATCAATTGCTTTTTATCCAGATGGGAAAGTTCTTGCTTCTGGAAGTAGTGATCAATCAATAAGAATTTGGGATATAACAACTGGTTAAGAAATGTAAAAATTAGATGGGCATGCTGGATGTGTATATTCAATTGCTTTTTCTCCAAATGGAGAATAATTAATATCAGCCAGTGAAGACAATTCTATATTATTATGGAATACTAAATCGATTAAAGAAATGTAATAAATAAATGGTGATTCAATGTGGATATATTCAGTAGCATAATCTCCTGATTAATAATTATTAGCATTAGCATGTATAGATTTTTCAATAAGATTATGGGATCTGAAATCCGAAAAAGAAAGATAAAGATTAATTGGGCATTCTGATTATGTAGAAGTGATAGCCTTTTCTATGAATGGTCAAATAATGGCATCTGCAGGTAGGGATCATAAAATTAGATTGTGGAATCTGAAATAATAAATAGATGTTTAGATATTAATTGCTCATTCTGCTACTATTTGGTCTCTTCGATTCTCTAATGATGGTTTAAGATTAGCATCTGGAAGTAGTGATAATACAATACGTATTTGGATTGTTAAGGATACAGAGTAAGAAAAAGTATTAAGAGGACATACTGAAGCAATACAATAAGTAATTTTTACTCCTGAAGGAAAATTGTTGGTGTCAATATCGAATGATAATACTATTAGAAAATGGAATTTAGATTCAGGGGAAGAAGTAGAATAATTAGAAGTTAATTTGGGAATTGTTTGGGCTGCTACTTTTTCACCTGATAATTAAGTATTGGCAATGGTTAATAAAAATAATACAATATTCCTATATTATGTAATAAAAGGATAAATAAAAATAATTAAAAATAACTTAGATTTGTTACATTCTATAACTTTTTCTTAAGATTCAGAGTTTTTAATTTCAAAAAATTCTGATTGTTCTATACACCTTTTAGAGATTTAATCAGGATTAGAAATTTAAAGATTTCAAGAACAACCTACTCTAAAGTAATCATTTAAAAATCCATTTCTATAACAATTTAAGCAATCTAAAATTTTACTAAGTTTATAAAAGTAATTAAAAAATCGAAAATCTGTTGAATAATTTACACAATCATTTTAAGTTAATAATTTTGCTTGGTCAAATATAAGAATGAAACTTATTCCTATTACTTGTTATAAAATAATAGCCATTAGCCATTTAATATAAGCAAAATAAACTATTATATCTAATGCTATTATCTTTTCAAATTTAAGAATCGATTTAATTCCATTATTTGAATAAAAAAATGATTAGATGTTTATATGAAAATATTCATTAATCTTCTAATAATTAGTTTTTGATTTATTATTTTAGAATAGATTAATTTAGATATAATACTTCTTTAATTATTCTATGATTGTTGAAATAGTAAAATGATAAATACATAGATTTTTATTAATCTTTTATTAAATAAAAATATCTATTGAATTATTTTACTAAAATTCTAATCATTATATTTCAAAGTTGAAATTTAATTTTCCAAAAATTTTTAATTTTTCTTTAATATTAAAATTTTGTAAATTATAAAAATTTATAATTTACTTAGTATTCTCTTCAATATTTTGTAGTATTATTAAATGAGAAATATTGATTTCTTTTATTTCATTAGTATTTAAGACACAAATTAAGATTAATGAGAAAGAATCATTTATATTCATTAAATTTACATTGATTTGTTAGGAATTATAACCTAATAATAAATTTTATTTAAATATTCTAATTGTTCAGATTTTTATCATAGATATCAAAATTCTTCAAAATATTGTTCGTCTTTTTTTATGATTAATAATAATTATATTTTAGATGATTGATAATATTATTTATTTATGATAATTATTAATTTTGGCTATTTACATTGAATGTCTATGCTAAATAAATCAATTTATTGAAAGAGAGATTTCGGAATTATCATGTAGATTTTCAACTTTAGGATTTTTTAGTTGATTCTAAAATTAATTTGAAGTATAATTTTTAAAAGATGAATTTAGCTCGAAAAAGTGATAATTTATAAAAGTTTTTGTTCATTATCATATAAAAATCAAAGAAAAAAGAATTGGATAATAAATTATAATAAGAAATAATAAAAATTATGATCAACAAAAACATTAGAATGTAGAGTAGGAATATAAATTAATAATTAAGTATAGAATTTAATTTTACAATTAAATATGTATGTCTAACTAAAAATTATTACCTTTTAATTTTGGATCAAGAAAATTTCTAAAAAATATAATCAATTAAAATAAATACTAAACTAGCATCATTTCAATTGTTTTCATTATCTTATCAAGACCTTAATCTAAATAAGTTAATTAATGTTAAAAAAGTGACTCTTCATCTTAAAATATCAATAATAAGGATTCAAATAAAATAAATTCAATAATAGAACATATAAAAATTTATATTCTAATTATACTTATTACAGAATATTTTGTTTAAAATATTTTTGATCTAGAATTTATATGTTAATGGATTTGAAATTTTATATAGTTGATTACAATTTTTCACTATAAACTTTAAAAAAATACCTTTATGAATTAAAGATTCTTAATGAACCTAATTATACCCATAATTTAAAGTATTAAAATACAATTTTCAATTTTTTATGGCATAAATAGAGTCATTACTATCAATTTATTATCTCACATATTTGAATTGATTTATATTTAGAAATTAATGAATCTCTATTTTATTTGGGTAGATAACTCACAAATACTTAATTTGAAAAACTTTAATTTTTTGATAATTCAATCTCATTTTCATAGATAAATAAGAATTTGAAAAATGAATTATCAAAAGGATAAAAGGCATAATTAATTTTAATCATTCTCTAAAATGTATTATTTAATGCTTATAATATATTTTGAAAACACTCGTGTTTTATATGATGAAAATAATATATTTAGAATTCTACATACATTAATTGTCCTATTGATAATTAAAGTGCGTTTAACATAAATAAATATTTATCTTAATCAATGTTTTGTTTATTGATTACCTTAATTTATATGACAAATTCAGAATGGAAACTAATTTACAGTGACTTTTATCAACAATTAATAACAACACATTAAAGTTGGAAATCATTAGAGACTTGCTTAATTAATCATATATTTTTACCATAAACTAGATAATGTCTTACAAATAACTTAGAGTTTATAAGATTAAATGATGAAAGAAAAGGAATAGAAAAATAATTTTATTATCCTCACTATTAACTTCGAATAATCACAGATGTTATATATATTCGTTCATAATCTGGAGTCAATTCTTAATTTTAGATATAAATAAATGATTCTTCAGGACCGTATGTGATTTTTTCAAGAGATTATTAATAATCTACTTTGCAATCATACTACAAAGTGTGTAATTTTGACTGTACACTAAGTTGTAACGGTTTGGATGAGAGAAGAATTGAAATCAAGACTCATATTATTGATACAATAGTCCATTAATTTCCTATATTTACAATTTCTTATTGTTTTTAACCATAAAATGATTTTATGCGCATTGGTTTAAGAAACATTCTAATTTATGTTAATTCATGCCATATATCATGTGCTTCATGTGATGGAGAGGCTTAATTTAATTGTTTGTCTTGTTATTAAGGTTCACCTTTAGGTGGTGTTTGTTTATGTGATGAATCTAATAAATATATACATAGATTGACTGGATGTATATAAGAATGTCCTAGAGATTATTATCTAACAGATAATTCTAATTATTGTTAATTTAACCCAAGTATTTTAAATATTAAAAATAGGAATTAAATCTATGTATAATTACTTTACATCATCAACAATAAGTAATGGAAATTAAATACCATATGAACCATGGGAATATTACCCTGATCCATTTCATTTTAGCAATACTAATAATATATTTTTTTGTTCTGGATAGGATTAAGTTGGAAAATTTATGTATTCTTAATTTATGTAATTAAAATTGCCAAAAAATGAAGGTTTAGTCTTTTTAAGAATCAGAGTATCCTTTCATTTTTTTGGATGGTAGCCAGATTCTGTATTAAAACTAATAGTAGATTAATAATCTCAAATGAGAATAGAGAAGACTTTGAATAATTACACAATTTTCAATGGAAGATTAAATAAATTTGAAAGTTTAAGTTGTTCATCTGAAAATTATGATTATTTAAGAATTGAAGCTATTTTAAAAACTTATACAACAACTCCAATTATTAAATTTTAGGCTATTTAAAAATTAGATAGTGAATTTTGGAGTTTTAATAATGTGACAATTGATTATGGATTATGTTAAAGTAATTGTACAAAATGTGAAACTTTTTAAAAATGCTTAATTTGTGAATCAGGTTTTAAATTATATAGGGGAACATGTGTGGAATCATGCCCTTCGTATTCATAAATAAACAATTAAGATTGCATAGACTATGAAGATATTATAGATAGTATAAAATATTCTTAAAATATTAGATAGTAGATATTTAATAAAAGCATTTTATGATATGAATACTACTTTTGAAGAAGTAACTAAAGTTGTTGATAATTTCACAGATTTAAATGATAATATATAAACATCATTTACTCAAGCATATTATTCATTTGTTCCTGAAAAATCAGTTTTGGGAGGAGTTTTAGTATGGAGTGATGGAAAATTTAAAAAAACATTTTAAAACTTGCAACCACATTATTAATTGAGTATTAGAATGAATATTACATATGGAGATGAAAATAATGGTTGGTTTAAATATTAATTAGATTCATATCAATCTAATAAAATAAATAATCCAGACACAGGGAATATAAATATTGCAGGAAATAATAAAAAAGAGACTACTATTTATTAAGAATATTAATACACACATAATTCAAATCAATTAGATATTGTATTATCAGCTGATACTCAAGGAATGTCATTAGAAGATGCATTTATGTATGTTTCAGAATATTTTGTTATTGTTCATTATGTATTAATTATAAATATATCTAGTGTGCACCCTTTTGTTCTTCATGCACAGGTCCTAAAATAACAGATTGTAATTCTGGATAATATTCTGGATATAATTTAACACATTATTGTAGTTCAAGTGAGTACCTGAAATATAATAGTGATACTTAAATTTACACTTGTGAAGAATGTAATTAATTAGGATGTCTTGAATGTTAAAATGAATTAATTTGTACAAGATGTGAATTCTCAGATAATAATTTATAATTTTTATTGGATTAAGGTGAATGTATCTGTTATCCTTCATAATATTTATCAAATAATTAATGTCTAAGTAATTATTTACTATTATATTTAAGAATGTAGTAAATATTGCGAAAGTTGTTTTGGATCAAATAATGATTAATGTTATACTTGCAATTCAGATTTTCATAGATCAATAAATGAATATAAATGCTAATGTTTGAATGGATTTTATGATGATGGTTATAATATACAATGTATTCCAATATGTGGAGATTAAATGATAGTAGATGGTGAAGATTGTGATGATGGTAATAATAATCCATTTGATGGATGTGATCAGTGTAAATATTAATGTTAGGATGTATGTTTGAATTGTCATAATGGTAAATGTTATTAATGTAAAGATGGATATACTTATGATTAAACTACTTATAAATGTTTAACAACATGTGGAGATTAAATAATATAAGGGGATGAATAATGTGATGATGGGAATAATGATGTTTAAGATGGATGTTATCTTTGTAAATTGTAATGTGATATTAATTGTATTAATTGTTAATATGGTAATTGTTTAAAATGTGATGAATTTAATGGATGGTATTTAAATAATTCCCATAAATGTCAATATATTTGTGGAGATGGTATTGTTTCTAAATAATATGAGTAATGTGATGATAATAATAAAAATCCATTTGATTTATGTGATAATTGTTATTTAACATGTTCAGATCACTGTATTTCTTGTGAAAATGGTTTATGTTTAAAATGTGATGTGGGATTTAGATTTCTACCTTAAACTAAACAATGTTTACCTATTTGTGGAGATTCTATGATAGTTGGTTATGAATAATGTGAAGATGGACATACAGAAATCATTAATTCATGTAATCAATGCAAATTCAAATGCAATAGTAAATGTTTGATTTGTTAATATAATAAATGTCTCAAATGTGAATTTGGTTATTATTTAAATAACAATATGTGTGAATAATATTGTGGAGATGGTATAAAAGTAGGTGATGAAGAATGTGAAAATGTATATATTTCTTAATAAATCTCTAAAGATTGTTTAAATTGTAGATAAGATTGTGGAA